TTTCTCTAGCTGCCTACTAGAGCAGTTCCTGGTTTTTCTAAGAATTTAATTACTATCTCTTTCAGTAAAGATTTGGAATGAGAAAATTCAGTTTGAGTGAAGAAATTAAATAAAATTACATTTGTAATTGAGGGCTTCAGTGCAGTATGGGGTTCTTGTGATTCTACGGTATATTCCCAACAGAGAAAAAAGGTGTCATGGCTAATGCATTTAATGTACTCTTGGTGCTTATGAAATGCTGACCAAGTTTTCTGTGCTTGCTACATTTTCATACTGAGGTGGTTATGGTGGTATCAGTTGAGTTATATTTTTATGTTTTGTGTAGTGGAATGAGATGTGTTTAAGCAAAGACTGTAGTAAGTGCCCAGTGTACCAAGCAATAACATTTGCTATGCAAAACTTGTACTTCACAGTTCCTTCAGTTCAACGACATTCATAGCCTCATATCAGAAGAGTTGAGGGGTAATTGGTATGCTCTTGAAGTGCAACTTGCATTTGTCTGAATCCAGAGTGGATTTCCTAGGCTGGGTGGAGGGGAAAAAACAAACAAGCAAAGGTGAATTTTGCCAAATGGAAATCCTGAGTATCTTCTCTTTCTGATCTCCCACTGACTTAGGAAACACTTTATTATTGAGAGAAATAATAGTTCCTGATCTTAGAGCCAAAATATTTCATAGGGCATTGATTTGGTAGATTACTTGTTTCAGAAAGGGCCCTATTTGATCATGAGCTGCTTTCCCAAACTGAAAGCACAGCTGTACCTGTGTGTGCTGTCCCGAGTTGCATCCAGCCAGTGTGATGGTGTGACCACTCTGTGGGGAAGCAGCAGCTGGTGCAGCCTAGTGTTCTGCATATTGACTGCTGCAGCCCTTCTGTGGGAAAGGACATCTTCACCTTCTCTGGAGCAGGCCTGTGAGGACACCTCCATTCTGGACTGCTTTGGTGAGTAGGACATGCCCCTCCTTCCATAGATAAGCCCACGTACCCTCTGGGGATCCAGACGTGCACTTGGGATCTCAGCTTTGGCTGAACTAGTCCAGGTCATGCTGTTTGTGATGAGATGGCAAAATAGGGTTAAATTTCCAGCTATTCAGGTATTTGTTAGTCTGTTCAGGGCAGCACCTGTGTCGAATGGATTGCCTGAAACCTGCTTAATCAGCAGGTGCCAGGCATTAACCTGCAGCTGGGCCTCATTTGGCTGTTATTTGCAGAATATTCCTGAAAAGAGGGACTGAATTCTCTCCTCAAATGCAGAAGGAGCATTTATGAAAAGCATTTCTTTACGTGACAGTCTGGGCTTTCTTCTGTTTTGGTAAGTTCAGAGGGACCAGCTGTCAGCTGGATTTTATGGGAGGTGCTCTGGAAAGTAGCATTTGCTGCTGCTGAGTCAGGGTGGTCAGTAGCACTGCTGCACATTTGGTTTGTGGAGTACTTGGCAGAAGTATCTTGAAACCCCTTCTATTTTGTGAAAATTTCTGATAGAAACGCTGTAGGATCTGGCAAGAGGTGATGGGATGGTCAGGGTGGGGTTTCTGTGAAGGAAGCTTGTGTTGTGGTGTTACTACAAGCAGAGGGAAATGGATGCTGTGAGATTTCTGAGAATATTTCTGCAGTTGTTAGCTGTGTTGTGCTGTGTGTTACGAGAAACCCTCTACACCTGAAAGGGAGCCTCTTGCAAGGTGTATGTATCTGTTACTGTTGCTGCCCTGACACCCTTTTGGTAGTCTTGCAACTATCTGCAGCACTTATCCCTGATTCTGCTTATTTCTGCTCTGCTGATTTAGCAGTCAGCACAATAAATGTCCAGAAGAGCTAATCTGATACTAAGGTAATGGGAAATTAATTTTATCGTAGCTTTAGTCAGGACATGATTGGTGTTAGATGTGTTGAATAAGAATGGCCTAGATATGGTGACTGTCCAGATTGTAGCTTTTCCATTTTATGTCCTAATTTTCATATTCACGGAGATTTAAGTGTGTCTGTGGTATGGCATCTCTGTTTTGCTTTCTCTTTCTCCCAAAAGTAATTCAAAAGGAGTAAAGATGACTATATTGTTCTTGAGAAACTGATTTTATCCTCATTAAATAAATCCAGAGATGGGCTGTTCTGAGGGTGTTGCTCTAAACCAGTGAGACCTTTCCCATACTGGGTTAGGATGTTTGTGTAACACTTGAGATGAGTCACTCGCTTGGATTTACCACGATACAACATCACATGAAATCGAAAATAGTTTAATTTTATGCAGAACCAACCTAAGATCGTCAGTAAACTAATACGGTTAATGATGACCAAAGTAATTTCAGTGAATAGGAATCTGAACTCTGTTTTGGTGAGCATAGAGGCAGTGGTGTAACACATGACTGCTTCCTAGCCAACAGTTTTTTTTATTTCAAATAGACTAGGAAACCGAGAGTCTTCTCATAAAGGCCAAATGTGTCATCCCTGTTGGAAATCATATGGTTGGATCTTGCTTCTGATCTCCTGGATGTACACCAGGGTGCTAGAGTGTCTCCCGTACCACTAGGGCACTCCAAGAACCCGCTGAACGATGCCTGGTTGCTTTTATCATATATTTTGGCAACCTCTTTCATATACATTTAGCGTGATTTTGAAGCACAGAGAAGAAAAGCACCATTGGATGTTGCAGAAGTTGCCATTGTTGCTGGTCTTGCCACCACATACCTGAACTGTGAACCTTTGTTTCTGAGAGAGGTCAATGAGGTTTTCACAGATTCACTCCCTTGAATTACAGGACTTAAATTCCCCAGCTCAAACAAGAAGCTTCACACTACTAGAGTAGAAAAACCTATGTTTTGGTTTGGTTTATTTAAAAAAAAAAAAAGGGGGCAGGAGGAAAGAAAAGGGAAAATTCATAGTAGAGTATATCTATATATATAATTGATTTATACATTTTAAAAAACATTGTTATTTAATTTAGGAAATAGTAAAAAAATTATTGAAATAATAGAATTATTTAATTTAGGAAAAATTGCCCTGCAATATGTTAGTTTTAGTCTTTACTTCCTCCTACCATCTTGTTCCTCAGTTACTCAGTTCAGATATGGTAAGCTATGTCTGCATCTGAAACAAAGAGATCTTTGCTTACTAGAGTAGTCCAAGGTAAGATTTACAGGCCTGTGTAAATATTTTTAACAAATAGCTGCTAAGCACGAGCCAATACTTTATGAAAGTAACATCATCATAAAACATCATCTATGTTAATGTATTTTGATAATTATTGTAATTTTTAAAGTTACAGAATGGGGGTAATTGTCTGTAAGGGTAAATATTGATGGGAATATCAGTGAACCTACTGTTGTGCTGATTTACAGCAGGAGAGGATTCAGTTTTAGGACTTCAGATGTAAAACAGCAGGAAAGGCTCCACTGGGCTATTATGAACAACCACCCATTTTCAAAGGACCTAAAAAGATGGGATATTTTAAAATACTTTTTTTAATAATTACTTTTTTAAAATATAGGCATGGTGGCAGTTGTGCAAGGTGTTTGTAAAAACTGGCAATTGATCAATATCAAAATGGTACATGAATTTCAGATACTTTTATGAAACAAAAAAGGTGACAGTCCTCTTTGACAAATTTATCACTTGTTTAGTTTCTGTAGTTGTTTCTTTCCCTTTATAACAGATATAAAAGAAATTGTAAACCAGAACTACACTATTTTTGCCTTCTTCCAACACGTGGTGGTTCTGCAACAAGAGAAGGATTAAATGAAAGTGCACTAGGTAGTAAATCAAACGTAATACTTACAAGCCTTCATTAAGTTTTTTTAGTGTTAATACATCTTTAGTTTTATGTTGAACTGTGATACTCTAAGCCCTGCACCTATGCACAGAATGAACATAAGTAAGTGGAACTATTTTAAGGCATGGAGTAGTGATACTACTTTCCTAAAGTCATACATAGAGTTAAGAACTTTCCCACCTATCCCATGTTTTTATCCAATTATGTTGGCCATATGATCATCTTTTCCAGCTGTCATCACTATCTTTAAATAGGCATTTTGGCACAGTCTCGCACCTGCCTCTGCTCTGTGAATCAAAATACTTGTATAAGAATGATTAGATGTTGATCAGTCATGAACTCAGGGACACAATTTCAGAATATTTATGTCTTTATTCTCTTCTTCCATTAGACAAAGGAATAGTTTAGAACTGGCAGCTGTTGACCAGGCAAATTATCATCCTTTCTTCTACATATGCTTGAGGTTTTGTGTAACACTTTGGGTATCTCTGCTAATCCATGAGAGGCTTTGCCTCATAAAATAAATATCTAGGCCTTGCACACCTGAATATCCATCCTCTTAGGAAAAACAGAACTCAACCCAGCATTCTTCACTTTCTTGGTGCTCTCTCTACTAATCTCTGAATTCAGCTCTGGTTAATCCTCTCTACCTGAAATCACACATTCTTTACTGAGCTTCATCTGAGACTTGTTATAGAAATTACCAACCACACACAGGGCCAGCTAACAGACTCTCAGTAGTTTCTGTTCTGAGTGAGGGTAGAGTACTATCTTCATATTTTTGCACTGTTTCATATTATAAATGTATATAATTTTATATGAAGGCTATTCCCATACTCTCCAAATATCTTAAAACTTACTCTACTGAGCCCACAACAAAGTTTATTCACAATGACTGCTTGTACCCAACTTTTTTATCATAGTTTAAGACATGTAATGTGTTTCCTTACCTTTATAACCATTCTTCTCACTGTACAGCTTTCAGCTACCATGACCTTAAGTTCTCAGTTGGCACTTTCTGATCTTTAAATGCCTCTTCAAAAGGTAAAACCATCATGTTTAATCATGTGTTCCCAAGCTTTCCACAGGAGTCAATGAACTTTAAAAGGTTATGGGAATCCCTCAAATTAATTCTGTGAAGTGTTTTTGGTAGGTATCTAATTGTTCCATCTCTCCGAAAGGAGGAAGACAACAGTTTCACTGACGAAATAACTGAGTTCTCAAAGAAATGAATGACTTTTTATCTTTTTTTTTTTAATGAAGAAAGTTTATTGCAGGTCTTTCTTTTACAATTCTAGTAGAAAGTATAGCTAAGAGAGAAAATGAACTATGACCAATTCATAAGAACGAGCAAAGGAAAAGAATTAAGCTGATACATACTATACTGAACTAAGCATTATGGTAAAGATAAAACCTCATCTATTTTGTGACTGCAGATTCAGGATAGCTGCTCCCCAATCCTTGTTTCCAGTGCCTGCACCAGGTGAACAGGGGGATAGCACTGACAACCTTTGATGGCTATTGATGGCAGCTCCTCTATCAGCTCATCCTAGAAGTGGGAGCTGCTTTGTTCATCGTAGCTTGGATCACATGCAGCAGGCTTTCCCTTCACAGGTCCAACATAATTTTATTTTACCTAATAGGTAGTCTGACCCTGGAGAAAGGTGTGGATGGGACACTTGCAGTTAAGATAGAAAATGGCTAAAACAAAAAAGTTTCCTTCACTCCAGTCTTCATTACAAATAAATGTCCAGTGCTCATGTTTACATCCCAAGTCACTTTATTTAAATTCATTTTATCTAAACACTACCCTGCCTGCAAGTTAGATAGCAAACTTGATGGAAAACAACCATCCTTCCCTCTCTATCTCCAGTGTTTGTTTCATGATATTTTACAGTTAGTCCACTAAAAAATTTTTCATGAAAATTTGCCTCTTCAAGTTTAGTAGAAACTTGGCTAAAAATAGAGGCATTGGAATAGAAGGCAAATAGAAGTTTTCATCCCTTGTCTTCCCCTCCCACTTTTCTGAGAATTCTCATGAGAAGAACAGAACGGGGCCTGCTTGTAGAGGGGAGGCCTGGTCACTGTTCATCATCTCACTGCTCATATAAAAATATGGTTAGCTACACCATAAGTAAGTCTATTTAGAGCCCAAGGCTGTGTGAAATGGAGTTAATTACTAACACAGATAACTTAAAAATCATCTAACATTTGCCAGAGTCTTTCCCCTACTGCTGTTCTGAAGACAAGGGCAAAGAGCACTCAAAGCGTACGGTCACTCGCTCACTATGAGAAAGAAGATCAGAGCCTGGCAGGGGCTCGCCACGAGAGGAGCACACAAACCAAAAACAGTCATGGGAAATGAAGAGAAACTGTGGCCAGAGTGTGGGGAGCTTCAGTTGGATTTGTTTTCATCAGTCCTACGCACCAGGCTGATCCCCAGCAAGCTCAGGAGATACTGAGGCAGGCAGCGTGGGGGATCGGAGTGGCTCAGAAGCAGCAGGGAAGAGGGTCTCGGACCCAGCCACACGAGGATCATCAGCTGCAGCAGCAATTGCAGAAATTTTCTCCATTCCAGCTCTACCAGAGTCCTGACAGCGCTTGCTGCAGAAAATCTGACTCTCTTTATCTAGAGCTGTGTTCTACAAACAAAAAAACAAACCCAAGGCACATCATGAAATCAGCAGTTAAATAAAGCCCTGTCTGAACTTAAGGGTTAAAACAATCTACAAGACATCAAGTGCATGCATTAGAGCCAGGAAAAAAAGGAGAAATAACATTTAGTACTCTTATAGATAATTAATGGTAGCATTCTGTGTTGCTGACTTTGGAAAATGTAAGGAAAACTTATCTTCCAGACGTATGTTTGCCATGATGTTGCAACCTTAAAACTTTGTCTTGCAAGTCTGATGTGGAAAAAAGATGGTGTGAGTGGTTGTGATACAGCAGGAACTCATCATAGCAGCTATTAGCCAAATTTATGCACCTGTGTTTTTGCAGACAAGTCATCACATGATGCTTAGTGAGCGCTCAGTAATACATTTTCTGTAAAAAAACTACACATTACAGAAGAGGAGCCCTTAATGAAGGTGACAGATGATTTTTTCTGTCTTAGAGAAAAGGGTTTGCTTCTCTGCTTATTGCTGAGAGTAGGCAAAAATATGTAATTTCTGAATTCTGTACTTTAAAATGAATTTACTGGAGAAGAGAGTAACAGGTTAGAATGAAAACTGAGAACTCCATAATGCAGTAGGTGGATTATTTGGAGTATGTAGTATGTCTGCTGAAGCCAACAACTTCAAGTTAAATGACTGTAATGTTTAATTGCTAGTGCAGTGTCTAAAGTGACCTAAAGGGAAATCTAGTAGTTCCTGTGTCAAAAACATACGTCAAAATTGCTTTTTAAGACTTGGGGGAACAGTGCAATTGGTCGTTTCACACTTTCAAGGCTGATACTGATCATTAGAAATTCATATACTCCTTGGCTTACCTTACTTTGTGGAAGCGCTTTGAGTACCAGTGGTAATACAGATTTAAGTTAAAAGAGATAAATTCTTTGTAGTTTATTCAGTTACGTAGAATGGTGCAAGGTACGCTTACTCCAGTCATGTACAGCTGGGGCTTTCTAAATCCACAAATGTGGGACAACTTAACTGAATAGTGGAGAACAAATACTTGTTTCACCTTTGTGGCACCTCCTGCATATGGATGTGTAAGAATTATAATGTTATGTGGAATTTCATATTCTGAGCTAGGATGTGCTACTTGTAAAGTAAGGTCAGGTGCTCTGCCTTTTCCTTAGGGATTTCTTTCTTTGATTGCTCAGGAGGACTTGCTTTACTAGTGTGAACATTTCTGTGTGTTTTTAGAAGAGTTTGATACTATTCACTAAAATATTTAATATTGAAATAATTTTCTGATACGAGTTAAATTTAGCATGGTTCATTTTTTTTTTCTAGATGTGCTTTTTTACATCAAAGTCAGCAGGGGCAGCAGAAATAAGGTACTTACCCTCTTTTTTCCAAACTGAACATGTAGCTTGGTAGTGAAAACTTATTTCCTTTTTGGAGTGCATAAATTCAAATTTCTCATTTATCCGACTTGGCAAGGAGCTGGATTAGTACCTCTGATTTCTCAAACAGAGGACTACGAGGATTTAGATGTATATGGATGGCAACTCTTGTGCTGAAACCATTTTATATAATGCTATGGCTGTGTGCTGGGGCAGGGGAGGAGGCAAGCAGCCTTGTGACACCACTCCTACCCCCCAAGGCCTTCCTGCCAGGCTTTGCCAGACCAAAGTACTGATTATAAAAATTCCCAAAAGAAAAGCTTAAGTATTTTAGTATTTTGAATTTAGAGTGTGTAGGTTTTGCTGTTTACTGGGTTTTTTTAAGTGAGTGACATCCCTAGTCTGTCTGCATAGAGGTACCAGGAGAAAATTCCATACTACACAACTGAATTCTCTGCTACTAACAATCAACTCTGCACACAGAGCATGCAAGGAAGTGACCAGCTGAGCTGCATCTGGGCTTTTGAGATTTTGAGGTGGTCTGCAGGAGTTTCATCATTATCAAGGCAGCTGCTACGCTGGCAGGATTGCATTTCCTTTTTTGTTTGCTGGAAAAAGAGTTGTAAATAAAGTGGTTTCTGCTATTTCAGTGGCAGGTAAAGTTATGTAAAAGGGAAAGGACATGCTTTCAGTTCATGCTTTACAGTGATTTTCTCCTGTGCTGTCCTCACAGCAGCTTCTGGTAGTTGTCACACGTTGCACACAGCAATACATACCTACATAATACAAGATTTTCTGTTTTAAAAAAATTTAAGAGGAGGCTTAATTTTACTGTAACTAAATAAGAATGTTTTTTATATTATCTCCTGACTAGGTCTGTAGTACTACAAAACAAATGACAATTAATATGTTTATTTTAAATAGAAACTATGTTTATTTCAGTGTTTTTGTTCTTTGGCTCTGTCTTCGTAGGGTTCTCATCTTTTTCTAATTGCTTTTAGATATGGTAAGATATACATATGCACAAAACTCCTGCCAGGAGAATAGATCAGGATATGTATGAGGAAGTAAAAAAAAGTTATATTAGTGTTTGTTTAGAATATTTCAAATATGCATCGCTTCAGACAGATCATTTTTTTGGTAAGTGCTTAAAAGATATTCCTTGACTGGTTTTGTGTGGCTGTACAGCTTTTTCCACTTCAGACTGGCTTAGTTATTTCTCCTTTCTTGTTAAAAATGGAGAACATGTATTTTTGTGCAGCAGAACAAAGCATCGCAGTTAGTACGTACCATTGCCTTGGACCTACTCAGAGGAAAGCAATGCAGGCATTGGGAAAGGAGGAAAAAGGAAGGAAGCAAGGGACAGAAACTAGACTTACTTTAAGCAGAACTAACACAATTGCAACAAATTTAGATTTACAGAACATTTTAAAATTGACAAAAAAATAAAATCAGTAATGAATTAACAGCAACATGCTTTTGGGGGCAGCGGGAGCCTCCTGTGCAAGAACACTGAACTGGGGATGTGCAGTTTTACTTATCTGCCACAGGATGGTATTATCTGCATTGGCCAGGTGACAGTATTGGAATGAAGTGATGCTAAAGGGGATTCCATTAAATATGCAGGTGGACTGATATAGCAATGCACTGCAATACATGAGAATTACAATATGTGCTGGTCTGAAGCTGAATGTTTTTAAGCAATGAGTGCTAGTACAAGTGAAGAGCTTCTGAACACAAAGGTAACTAAATTTCAAAGTTCAAGATAAACCAGGGCAAGAATAACAAACTGGGGGCCTAACCCTCATTAGATCACAGTGGTTTTGATCAAGATTTTACTTTTCCTTTCACCAATAACTGGGAGCTGCGTTCAGAAATAAATAATTATGCGTTTACATCCTTCCATACCTGTTAGAAGGAAATAAGGCAGGAAAAGGGAAAATGAGGTGTACTTTCCTGGCTGAAGGCATGTCAGTAGCTTACAGAATCAGAAAAAACCCACACCAATAAGAAGCCAGAAGCTATGCTGTGTCAGAGATCTGAGACAGGCTTAAGTGGCATGCAAGTTGGAGAGGGGCTGAGAGTTAGAATTAAAATTGCTCTTATTAGATGTAGTGCATTTTATACCAGTTTTCAGCTTCAGGCTTATCCATAGTCTCAACAGTATAAAGAATGAAGCTCTGAAGTCCCTCTCAAACTGTCAAGTCAAACTGTCAAATGAAATGTAGACAACAGCATGAACCTGAAATCCATTTCCTGACTTATTTTTGTTATCACTTGTCCTACATTTAAATTGTTGGCCCATTTAATTCACATAAATATATTTGCAAAAACATGTATGTATGCAGAAACATTATTTAAATTTACTGACTTTCAGATGATTAAAACAATTCTTTGTTAACATAAGTGGGCTGGACTTCAAGTGTAATTAATACTAATGGGAAGGGGTGGAAATCACTGTTATGTTACTACCATAGATGGTTTTATTTTTAACTGAAGATACTCTATGTGCAGTGTCCATCCTCACATCAGACAAGGATGGACCACAGTAAGGACAGAAGGGCAGTTCAATCACTGTTGCAGTTGCATATTCTCTGCAAAAGTGACTGGGCAATTACAAATGCAGTTCTTGGTACTGATAGCAATAAATTCCATTTCTTCTGCCGTGATTCACACATCTGCCTTCTGGAATTACTGTTTATGTAAATTCAGCTGTAGGGTCATCAGGATCCCATTGTGTGCTTCAAAGAAAGTTCCCCATTAGGGAACAGAAACAATGTAGCAGGGGTTGGATGAGGACAAAATCAATGTGGCAAACATTCAATACTACAAAGAAAGTTTCTGAAATGGGGTCTGGTTTCCTGGCAAGCACAGTGTTTAACAACACTATGCCCATGATCAGGCAATACGTGGTCGGGCAGAGGGGAAGAGCCTACTTAACTAACTAGGTGATCAGTATGATTAAAAAAAAAATCATCACAGTTTTTGTAATGAAAGAGTTCAAATTCAACATACACCTACTTAGTGTTTACATGTTTCTGTTTGGAAGCTTGTTTTTATAGCTTAGGTACCGCACTGTGATGGACTTGGTTGCTCTCAAGCAATGATGAGACAATCCACATTATACATAAATAAAGACTAGAATTAGAGACTATTCTAGCTTTGGTTTTGCTATTCTTGCACCACACATGCTCATAGAGCACTGTTAGGAAGATATGCAAAGTATAGTATCAATGTATAAAAATGTTTATTTCTCTTACCATGATGACAGAAACCCCAGCAGATGTGTTATTTTGCTTGGGTAGGGTGTTATTAAAGTGCTGCTTCAGTTTACCTGTTACTTCAGCTTGCATATTATTCTCCTGGGAAGCATCATCCTGTATAAGAATAAACACAATATTCAAGTAATGAAAAAAAACCCCCAAAACTATGCTTGAATGCAACTAAGTAAAAGCAAAGCTGCAAGTTTTAGTCAAGCATGTTAAAAATAACGTGCTTGAAATAATGTTAAAAATAAAAAGCATATTTGTCATTTGGATTTCTTTTAAATCAGTATTTTAAATGGTCCATCATGTCCTAAGTGTGGAAATGTTACACAGTACCATAAATAAGTTTCAGAGGAGCTGTTATCCACAAACACACTCATTAGAGTTGTCTTCTCTTGTGTCCCAGAACTCCATAGATCATATTCAGTGCCCTCTTTTAAAATATATGTGAGAATAAACATTGACTATGCACATGTAAACCTAGTATTTATTAACAGTGAACTGATTTTAAATCACTCAATGCACTTTGGTGTTCCCCACTGCTGCTGCCCAAAAAAATGAAGGACCTGGCAGCCATCAGCTTAGTCTTAAATTAGGTATTGAATTTGCTAATTGTATTTCAAGCTTGAAGTGCTTCAAGAAACAGACTGTACTCCAAGTAGCTTTGCAACAAGTAAGTGCCAACAGGCACAACAGTCCTTCCACAGACGCGTTTTTGAGATAAGCGTTTTCTAGGTTGGATGCGAAATAACAATAAAGGTGCCAAAGTCACACATCTGCCTGTTGTGTTATGTTCAGGGTTTAAGCAACCCCCAGTGCCTTCTAATTGCAGTCAGCAAGGGACAGCCTCATTCTGTTCCTTCAGAGCCCAGAAGCTGACAGTGCTGCTACAGCTGAAGCAAAATCCAGACTATGGCTCTTCTCCTTTATGTGGAAATGGGAACAGTAGTTCCATAAAAAGAAATGGACCTAGTAGAAGTGTATTACTGCTTCTTAAAATTACACTTTAATGCTTAGATTTACAGGTTTAATATAAAATTAGAGGCAAGTAAAATGTAATGTACTCACTGACACCCAGGGATGGCTTAGGATCTGTGCTGCTGTATATCGGGCCTCAGCATTCACGTGTAACATCAGGCTAATTAACTCCTTTATTAATAAAAAAAAAAAGAAGAGTTAAAGAAAAGGATATTACAACTGAAAATACTGTTGCACCAAGTTCTTCTCAGTGCAAGTTTCTTGATACCTGGGTGAAAATAAAAGCCAGCTGATTCCAGAACCAGTGATACCACTATGACTTACTGGAACAAAAGGTTTGCCTTTCAGGATTAAGAGTATGCTGGGCAGCATATTTCATAGCAACTTCCTCATTGTACTCATGTTTCACCAAATCTTTTGAAACCAAATGAAACCAAAAACAGCTATAATGTTCCACTTTGTTCTCTATATATTCATGCAGGTAACCAGAATAAAAACAAACCTGGGAGAGATGAGATCCTCTATAGGCTGTGCACACACATAGTAACAATACATAAAAAGTACCAATCAGAGGCAAGAAACTGCATCTGAAAGTCAAGAAACTGAAGGCATTATTTGAAGAGTGTTCATTGCTTCAGTTTTGGGGAATGGCTTCTCCAAGCAGATAATAACATACCTAACTGAGAGGTTTCCCAACCAGCCAAGTTATTTAGTCTGTGTAAGTTTGAAGTGAGATCACCTTTAGTGCCAAGACTGAGGGCCTTGTTCAGAATGCATGCCTGGAAGTGTGTGAAATGACCACAGCTTGGGAAATGTTGATAAATGGATAAACAAACAGTCATTGGGAAATGCAGAAAAAAAGTAACTTCTCACTGGCTGGATAAAAAAAATAATCTCTACTTGCTAATGAGCCTTCAGATATCATTCAGAGCACGAGTGAATTAGCTTGAGTAGCAGGGCTTACAAGTTGGAACCTTTATCCTGCAGACACAACTGTTTTAAACAAAATTGCAATGATAACACAAGAACTGTTAGCAAGGGCAATTAGCAGTGGCTGCACCTCTTGAAAAGTTCTAATAACCGGCTCAAGTAAAATAGGAAGTAATGTCAACTGCATTCAGTCCACATAGCAATGATTTTTCTTTTTTAAAGAGCAATAGGAGGGAAAAATTCAGAGACATTTACTTTGCAGCTGAAGCAGTGAACCTGCTATAATAGTCCTTCCTGAAGTAAACTGAATATCATGTGATATTCACTGAATGCAGTTGGCATTCTGCTACCCTTACTCACTCAGACAGCAACACAACAGCCTGAAACACCTGAGCTTTGATTTAACTTTAGGCTAAACCAATTAAAAAAGGTACAGCAACTGGAGCAGTGGGTAAGAGTCTGTTCTGAATCTTCTAGTCTGCCTTTCCAAGAGAGCAACATCTTTTCAGGGACTCGTCAGAAATGCTATTTCAGGTTGGAAAATGTAGCAGTACCTTTGCTGAATCAGTGATGTTATCCCAGTAGGGAGAAGGAAATTCCAGCTTCCCAACAAGTATCTGATCAAAGAGGTCTTCCTGAAGGTTGTTTTCACTGCAGAACAAGCAGTAATGAAAAAGATTATGAGAAAGAAGTCAATTTTTCATGTGAATTCTTAACTTGATTTGGGGATGGAACAGAAATGATGTTAATAACTACTAGAAATGCATAATTCTCAAGCTTATATAGAGGCAGCACTTCTGAGCTGTCTGCCATAGTTATGCTGGCAGAAGTGATGAGAAAACCTAATATACTGAGGTGAAAGCTCTTCCACTGTAATAGAGACTGCATAGCTAACACACAGGAACAGGAAAGGGGATTCAAAAGTAAGTCATTTGCCAGCCTAGTTCTAAAGAACCTGCTACAGAAAGCATATGATTGGGGGAAGAAGTGTAGTGAAATGAGCCTCATCTGTTAAACTATCAAAACAGGAGAATTTTCAAAATCCATAAGGAGATACATAAAACACAGTAAACTAAATGTATCATGAGTACTGGCAGGCTACTGATATTAAAAGGATAAGTATTTTTGTATCAAAAACATGGTTTCATGAATATTCAGAGATCAATGGCAGCAGGATTTTTGTTTTTCAACTTGTTTGTTGGCTGTGAACATCCACCCAACCTATTTCTGTAAAGAACAATGTAGCTCTTGAGTTTGTTTTGCAATAAATATTTATTAACCTTGGTTAAGGCCTGGTTCTAATAGAATATGGACATTCTCCATGCCTAGTCCCTAAACTCTATTCAAATAAACTGCCATTTGTTTCTATACTGTATCTTTCAAAACAAGTTTTCAGTTTTAAACATGAACTACCTACATAAAAACCTCAAATACCTAAACTAAATAATATTTTTCCATAAACAATAGTTGTTTATATTGTGTTCTTTGCAAAATATTCTCGGTCTGGTATTTTAGTTAATTAAGTATTTTGCTGTAAAAATGAACAAACAGGCCATGCACTAACAATTTATATGTTAAGAGGAGAATTCACTATTTAAATATGCCAATTCCTTCTCATTCCCTGGGAAATAAAAATGGCTGAGGCACAAAGCATATCCATTTGATTTTCAGTAGAGCTCCTACATATGGTGACGCTGAGTAGCAAGAATGATGTTTGCAAACTCCACCGCTCATATGACATTTATCAAAAAGACTAACAAGGTTAAAAGTGCAGGATAAACAAATTGTTCCCCTCCCCTCGGTTTACCACCAGCCACCCTCCCACCCCGGCACTGCAGACCGGGGAGCTGCCGGGTCCCAACAAAAACGCCAGAGGGCAGCGTGTGCCCGTGGATCGTGGAGCTGGGACACACAGGGAGACAAAAGGAAAAGCGGCTCTGCCCTTACACCCCCACATCCCTGCACACAGCACTAAACCGGCTGCGACCTTAGAAAAATAAATAAATAAAACTAATCCCAGAACCTAAAAAGAAGGACAAGTGAAAACAATTTAAAGAAAAGGACAAAGACATAAAGAAAATGTGTCAATCTAATCCACCTTTTTTTCCCCCCAGGATGCCTTCTTCAGGGAGAAAGAACTTGATTATTTCTGTTGTTTTTCCCTTTGACACTCACCTGCGAAAAGGTGGAAATCCACATAACAGTATGTATGTGATCACACCTGCAGCCCAAATATCCACCTTTAAGCCATATCTGAGAAAACAAGGCTGTGTTACTTGTGCTGAATTAAAAAAAAAAGTCATTTCAATGAAAAAAAATTGCATTGACATGAATACATGAGAATCTGTTCTAAATTACTTGCTGATTATGTGATAATGTATTTTGTACCTAAGCACCTTTTTCTTCACAACTTTACAGTCTTTAGGAAACCAAGATTCTATGTTTTTTCTTATTTTTTTTTTCCCACCATAAGCCTCAAGGCTCTCCAGAGTGTTCTGAACGTACTCAAATTCAAGTCAGTACCAAGGTTTTCCCAATCCAGAATCACTAACGATAAAAGACAAGGATGTGCCTTCTCAGTCCCTATAGTGAAGTAACTACCTCTTAGGTTATCATGTGTTGCTAAGCAACAAGACACACACCAATCCTCCAGTCTCTTGAGTAACACGGGGAAAAAGAACTGCACTTTTCTTTCAAAGCACAGAAATTAAAACACTAGAGGTCAAAAAGAGGTCTTTTTGTCCTGTTCTTTTCTATCCAGTAGATTCAGTTTTTCAAAATCTAAAACATGCAGACGAAGTGCCATTTGACATTTGAGCTCTGCAGCTGTGAAATATTTCTCCATACAACAAATGCACTGAACAATGACTGAAACAATACAACAAACCTGCCTCCATTAGGAAGATGAAATTCAGAGGGGGTCACAGCTATGGCAAGACTCAGCTATAGCATAGAATGGAGCTCTAATAGGTCTAAAAGGAAGGATGACTCCTGAAATTCTACCATTTAAAAAAATTATGTTGTATTTATGGAATGACCTGTTCAATACAAAAAAATGGGGTTGTTTAATTAAGCAAACAGTTATCAAACAGCATGTGTCACCCAAACAAGGTCACTTGAATCAACGTGATCTAATTAGAGCTGCCCTGAGAACAGGTTTAGACTAGGTGACCTCTGGAGCCTCTTGCAATATAAATTATTCCATTTCTAATGCAAACACTGTGTTCTGCTTGTCTGTTCTTCCCCAAGCAGCTGCCATGGCTGGTATAATGGGCTCTGAATGCTGAGGTGAGGCAGGGAGCACAAACCAATGAACTCCACTGCACCAGCAGGTCCAAGGGAGGTGGGTAAGGAGGCAAAGGTGAATTCTGGGGTCAGGATGAGCAAAAAAACTGGCCTCTTTGAGGAACTGTGAATGATGCCCATGGGTGCTTTGGTTACAAAAAGATGGAGAGCCAGCCTGTTAAAGCATTCTAGTTCTTAAAACAGTTAGGAGCTACCTGACAAAAATAACTGGTTACAAGGCCTATGTCTTATCCTTACCCTGTCTCTGCAATGATTTCTGGAGCCACGTAGGTGGGTGTACCGCAGACAGTATATAAAGGTCCTTCAACCACAGTCGCCAGTCCAAAGTCTCCAAGCTTCAAAGACTTGGTTCCATCTGAATATTCACATACCTAGAATCAGAAAAATAAAAGCACAATGAGGAGGAGAACATCTGCATTTTTTTTAATTTGTTTGGAAAATAACCATCATCACACCAAGAAGATGGGGAAAAAGAGGTAATTTCCACAGCCCTGTAGGGAAAGAAGAGAAAAATGCTATTACCATTGATTGCAGCTGGAGCTAGTGTTCAATGGAGCTGTCTGCCAGCTATGTAGGTCAGACCATGACATAGCCTCAAGCAACTAGTGGGGGGGAAGGAAAACTCAATCCTAGAATGCTGAGTAGTTTTAAATATATTAAGTAGAATATAATACTGTAATTTCATTTGATTAAGACCTGGAGTTTAAAATGGGACTGTCAGCTACATCAGATTTGTTTAATGTCTTGTTAACTTAGCATAAATCTGGTCAGTTGTTATAGTGGATATTTCATTGGCAATGTCCTCCCTATGCTTAGTCAGTCTAGGCAAGTTCAGTACAAGAGTGAGAAAGCTGACTGAGAACTGTTTAGGTTTCTGTGCAGACCCAAATGTATTTTACCAAAAGCCCCATAAATAATCTAGCACTGAGTCTACCTCTGAGTTATTTTATGGATGAAAGAAGTTGAATTTCAACAGAAAGAAAAGTGCTACACAAGAGTGATTGCAAAAGTAAATCAAACCAGACCAACGCAAAGGAAATATCCCCCTAATAAACTAATCTCAGTTTCATTCTTGAAGTAAAATATTTATATTAACATAATTTCAAAGGAATCTAATTTTCAGAATGTAGGACTCCATAATCTCCAGAATGGCTGAATTTCTTTTGTTTCCTCAAAAAACGGAACACTGCTAAGGCAGCAATACTTTCCTTCATTCCTCTCTGTAATTCATATCATTAATGGAAACTCTTGTTCTCTTTTATATAACATCTTCAAAACTCTTAAGAGTTTGCATTTTTAAATGCATGACCAGTAAAGAGAATTCAGACAGCTGGATGATCCTGTGCAAAAAAACTAACTTCCTGCAATTCTAGGTGGCAATTGATAGGAATTATTTGCATTTACATTCAATACCAGTATGTTTATGTTCTGCCACTGTCAATCACAGTGAGTAAGATTTGCATCTGTTGAGTAATCTCTTTAGGCTTTCTAGGCAGAAAGGACATTTGTGCCTATTTATAACTGATTCAAATCGCTAATGAGAGCTTAAAATTTCTCTGCACTGTCTGTGTTGGAAGATGCACTGATAATGTGAGACTTCCACCTTCATTTTCTCACTTTTAAGTACCACATTGCTGTAACTACATTTTCCAGGAAAAGCCTCCCCTCCCTTTCTTTTGCTAAGCAATCTAATTTATTTGAGGGTTCATTTAAATGGCCAAACACTGTCAGTGGAATTTGTTGGGAAAGAATTGACTATGAAATGGAAAATATTTTCAGCTTGTAGCTTGTAGCCCTATCCTTGTTGTAATGGTTCAAAATCTGTTCTGGGATAAGCCATGACTCCTACTCTAGATGCTACCTCATTACACAGGACTGACAAACACCCACAGAAGGTTTTAAGAAACATCTACCAAGTGTTGATGAAAGCCACCAGCACGCCTGATGACAGTGGCTCAAGCAGGGGAGATTATGGCCCTGTTTGTTCAGTGTGTGACACTTAATATCTAATATCCAATATGTAGTGCACAAGTATAACCTCTGTGTATAAGCAAATGGCACATGCTGATCCCATTCTGTGAACAGAATGGGAAAGATGCCCTCTGTGGACTGTGGTATAAGTGGTTCCCAAAGTAGACTTCATGGTAATTCTTGTCAACACAGCTATTCTCTGTCTCTGCTGAAAACAAAAGTAGTCAGTTCCCCAGGACAAAATAAACGTATGTTCAGAGTTAATTCCCAGCTGGGATATTGGTAAATCATCAGAAAGATGATCCTACAATGACAGTGAGAGAAAAATGGGGGAGGGAAAAAAAAGGCTTCAGATGGTAACCATATGATCGTTCAAAGAAATGGAAGAAATGGCACTCAGCCCACCTTTTCTCCCACTTGCAAACTAATAAATAATTCATTGACATAGCTTTAAAATTCATTGTTTTGTGAGACAATACTCCTGCTTATCCAAATGGCAGCCAATCAAAATGTAAATAAAGATAAGTCTAAGGACAGGTTTGAGCACAGCTCTCTTGCATTACGGTGATTGCTATCTCATGGCAGAAGATTTATTTCATACATGCTTATTCTAAATTAATATGCCTGCTCTTCTCTGCTCAGCTCCTTGACATTTATATATACAAGCATTTGCATTAATGAGAACAAAGTAAGAGAAAGTATTAGATAATAAATGGGACATACCAGAAGATTTTCTGGCTTGATGTCTCTGTGCACAATGTTGAGACCGTGAAGGTATTTGAGAGCACTGGCTAAATTGTAGACCATTGCACTCCCATCTCGCTCTGTGTATTTTGTAGATGAAGTGATAGCATCAAATAGATCTCCTCCCTACATAATAGAAAGGAAAAAGATTACTGTGGGAAAAATAATTAAGATGATATTTCATTTAAAAAAAAAAAACACACCAAAAAACCCCATGTAAAATCTTCCTTTACAAAAGGCATGCTCAAAATTCCTGTTAAACAGTAAAAAAATTACTTTGCAGAAAGATGATCTTGTCACCAAGATACTATACTGGGACTTGGGTCATCTACATTAAATTCTCAGCTGTAATCCTGGCTTCTGATGTCTGAGTTTGGACAAATCACAGATCTTCTCTGTCTTGATTTCTTTTTATTGATCTTCCTACCTTTGATCAATCATTTCTATTTCTGCCTACAGGTAGAGGCATACAGTTTCTTTTTTCTTCATCTTGTCAATGTAATACCTTTAACATAGCCCTGGTTTTAAGTAAGGCCTAAAGTAAATTAGGTCAGTAATAAAAACCTTAACAAACAAATATTCAGCAATTGTAATGAACTGCAAATCTGAATTTCTGCAGATATTGCAGAAATATCAATAAATAAAGCTAAAGAGGACAAACAAGTCAAGTATGATCTTTTCCAACATAAATGAATCCACTGATTCTATGACATGCCGAAGTGCAGAACCTACAGGTGATTTCTGAATGTTTCAGTTGTGCAGTCTGTTTTGTGGATGCCCTATTCCTCTTGGAATACACAACAACATGTGAGCAAGTTACTGATGCAGCATTTTCAGTCATTGCAACAAATTTTATGTGGGTGTCTCTATGATGGTTACCCTGGATACATCTGTAGGAGTGATCTGTCTGAGCTGTGGGTGGCATTCCAAGCATTTCAATATACAGGGAAGAGAAGGAGCAATTCAGGAAATACAGGCCAAGATGGTGGTGAATTAAAATATAAAAAATACTGTCTTGAAACCCAAAAAAAGCCTATAGCATATAAAAATAACTTCTGGAAAGGAAGAGAAATGAGTAGGCTACAGAAATTATGAATTCAACAACTACACACTTTTTTTAGAGGTTTCCCAGGCTGGTAACTACTCTAGGGGGGAATCCTGAATCTAACAATGTTTCAGACAGAAATAAAAAGTGCTGCTGCTGCTATATAATATTTGTATCTGACATGCCAATCAGATGTGCAGTGTTGCTGTGTATGTACACAACTCAGACAAGAGAATGCAAGACTAAAACTTGATGCAATTTGTGTATTTGGCTCACAAGGTGACAGCAAAATGAATATTTTTGTTTTCTCTGTACAGGTATGAAAGCAGCATATCTGTTCTCTGGTAAACTGGAAATAAGGGGAATGAATGTTTGATACAAGCAAACCAGGTGAGATTTTTTGAGTTTTAATTTTCTTGGATGATGATCACTTGAATTTACACTATCTGTCTAATTTATTGTCAATTAAGACAAATTTATCACAGAGAGATAAATTCATTACTTTCTTTAAGGCAAATTATTAAATAAATATATTAGTGAAATAAATATATTAGTGAAATAAATGCAGGTGTTCTGTTAGTAAAAGCACATCTCTATCAGCCCTGCATGTTGTAAGCATGATATACTATATATCTACTTCTGTCTAGACTGTGCACATTGCAGAATCACCTCAAATCTGTGTTAATAATCTAATTACAACTGAAGAGAGATAAAGTCCATTATTATAATTGATTGAAAAGAGTATTTTTATTATTAAAAATGCAGGTTGCCACTGAAATCTTACATGATTACGTCTCCCAAGACCTTAGTGTTCCCAGATGCTGCTCAGATCTCACACCAACACAGAGCATTCAAACAGGATAAATAAAGCCTCCTCAGTCTTACCTTGACCAGCTCCATCACCAGATAGAGTTCTGTTGGGGTGTCCATTTCCTCTATAAGCATAATGATATTTGGATGCTTCACTCGACGCAGAATAGACACTTCATTTTCAATCAGGTGCTCCTGTTCAGAACAGGATGGAGAAGTTTATCTGAATAGACATGAAATTGCCAATTCACTTTTCCTTTGATCAGCTGGTCACTTGATCAGTGAGCACCCTTTTTGCTGTTTAATTTATATAGTAAAGGGTTATTGTCAGATGCTGGATTTTAAGTTGTATTTCACCACTGACCACATTTAATTTAAAATACTGTATTTCACTCACATAAAAAATGGGATATCTCTGAAAAAAGACCCCAGAACATGACAGCAATTCAGGAAGTGCAGATTATACTCTTATGTGGGTATTATGAGGTGAAATTAAGTTCAGAACCTTTCTGCCCCCAAGCTGGATCATTGTAACCTGTCACCCCTCATCAATAGTTGACATGCTCTTGATCCTCTCCAGCCTTCACCTCTCATTTAGTGTAGGTTACTCAAGGACAGATTACCTAGGATTTATATTCAAGGACTTTATTTTTTTTTTAAAAAAGTTGTAGAATATATACAAGAAAAAATATTATAACTGCTTTGGTTATGGTTTTCAGTTCATTTTATATGTATGTTCAGATTTACAATCTGCAAAATGTGTAATAGCTCAGTTAAATCGTTGTGACTCCAACAGCTTAACAGCACACAGACTGCGTTTAATTTCCCCTTCCCTTTACTTCTGGGGAAGTAATGGCTTTCAAGAACAAATTAGTTTCAAATGTCTTGTTTTCTGGAACATTTTAGCACATGGTTAACACTGGAAAGCGAAAAAAATTACATGCCCCTTTCATGTGAAAGAATGATTTTAATTTTCCTTTATAAATATTGGAATACAGACGTATTTAGGTTCACTGCAAAATAAATACCAATGCTTGCATAAAACACGAGCACCCTTACACTTGGGCAGATAACAAATCATGTCACTGGACTCAGAACTTATTCATGTTTAATGCACCGATTAGTAGCATGCATTTCATGCATTTGTGAGCAGAGCATTAGAAGGAGATGTGATCCACTGTGCAGAGGCAGTGATTGAAGATCTTGTGCTACTTCACCTTCTTCTTCCAGGGTTATTTACGGATGCACTGTGTTTTTGCCAAAGCTCTATGTGGCTACATAACTCAGAAACCACATGCCATGTGTGCATCTCATTTCGTGAGAGTGCGGTGCGGCATATACGGGTTAAACAGTCACACCTTTGAAATTCAGTTTGAAAGAGCATCAATTGTCATTCTCAACAAACATATGCCTGCTCCAAGCAAAGTGCTCTGGAGGAAAAAAAACAAACAAACATGAAGCAATTTTGTTAAACACAATGCTGAATCTCATCACCAGACAGAAGTGAACAGCCACAGCATACTAAGCCTTAGGGATGGAAGCCTGTAAATTCAAAACTAACATTAAGAGTCCAAGCAAAAACTAAAATATTATTATAGCTTTTTCTACCTAAAGAACAGATAGCATATTAAATTTATTACATCCGTTAATTACAACTAAGGCACAATAGCTTTATCTGTGCTTTCTTTGTTTCACTTGACTAAATTGTTTATTGCTTTAAATAAAGCTCAGGAATAACTAATGTTTATTTAAAATAATAAGAATTTTTAAAAACAGTCCCCGAAATGTTGTTGAGCTACTGTTTAAAATGCTGACTAATATGTGGTTCTTTATTTTCAACCATCCCACTGTTTTGCTCTATTTTGCCATATAAAAAAGTAGTAATTTTCAAAGTCATTATGATGTTTTTCCTGAATAGTGCAGTATATGCTTCAGTTTACATTAATATGATTTATTTACAGTGAAATTACTGTGTAATTGACATTTAAGCCACTTGTGGAAAATACATTAGTCAACTGTATTCAAGTTTTAGGACATCCAAGATCAACTGCTAAGGAGCAGTGAGCAACACTCAAGTCATCCATATTTGGGCTGGATGGGTGTTTTCAAAGCAGTGCTTATGTTGGTCTGTGAAACTAAGTGAGGAAGGAATAAGCTGTAGCAAAACTTAATTATTTTCTCTGTTGGAATTCTTCCTGGACAGTTCAGCCACTGCCCTAACAGGTATAAACATCTTCCTAACAACAGTCTGTAGCTATACAGATACAGATCCTTTCAAAACAGGCAAGAATGCATCCATGGGGCTGATTTTTTAATTTATTTTAAAGCAGGGAGAAAGACGTATAGAAAATATGTCTAAACTCTACTGTCTAGAGATTGTCTATCTCTAGACGGTTCTAATTTGTGATACCTAAGCAGCTGACTCAGACAAGTAATAAACACCACCTAAAGCTGCAAGCTGTACACATCATCCAAAAATTTTGTTTGCAGTGGAAAGCGCTGTGTCACCCTTCCCACAGCTGAAGAAATTGCAACATTTCAATCTCAGAAAGGCAATTTGAGCACTTTTTCTCATGGTTATGCATTTTTAAGATTCCTTTCTAAATTTTCTAAATAAACCTGGAGAATATGAGATAAAACAATGCGGATGCTGGAACACTGATCTCCTAGCACCTAACACGTGATTTAAAATCATCATACATAAAACAATTCTGGTTTAGCACCTCTACTTAAAGGAAGTCATCACAGCATCATACAGCTCCTTACCACACAAAGAATGTCACACAGACTTGCTACATCCTCCTACAAGGACCCATGCAGCATTTGGAGCTCTGAATGACACTTCAGAGCAGTTACAACATGTAATCAACAAAAAGGATACCTTTGATTTAAATCCCTGACTTGGTTACAAAGATACCTCTAGAATCATTTCAGTCAGTCATTTACATAAAAAACATAGGGTGTCTGGATCAAAAAGTCCATCTTTTTAGTACTAGAAAGAATGGTGTATTGCCTACTGTGAAAGAGACTTCAATGCAGAATTTGATTGTTAATAAATACTGTGTTTCAGTGATCTTTTAGCTAACACTTAACTATGATCCATTTAATTCCTAAGTTCCTTAAGAGCACATTGGTTTAAGATATATCCAAGCAGTGAAAATAGAAGTATTTTATTTGCTGTTATCTATTCCAACGCTTAGTCTACATTTGGCTGTAGGTTGGCTGTTTTTCTTCCTTTTTAAAAATATACTCATGAGGAAAGGAAAGAAGGGGTGGCACAATCTCAGGTATCTATTTCACAGAATCACAGAATTGTTTGGGTTGGAAGGGACTAGAGATCTAAGCAGAATCACTTAGAGCAGGTTACACAGGAATGCCATTCAGGTGGGTTTGGAATGTCTCCAGAGAGGGAGAGTCCACAATCTCACTGTTCCAGAGCTCTGCCACCTTCAATGGAAAGAAGCTCTTGCTCATGTTGAGGTGAAACTCCTTGTGCTTTAGTTTATGGCCATTGCTCCTTGTCCTGTTGCTGGGCACCACCAAAAGGACTCTGGCACCATTTTCTTGGCACTCATCTTTGAGATATTTATATGTATTAATGAGATCCCCTCTCAGTCTTCTCTTCTCTAGACTAAAGAGGCCCAGCTGCCCCAGTCTCTCCTCATAAGAGATGCTCCAGATCCCTCATCATCTTTGTGCTCTCCGCTGGACACTCTCCAGTAGCTCCTCGTCTTTCTTGTACTGAGGAGCCCAGAACTGGACTCATTATATGAGATGCTGTTCTGCTGAAGAGACAATTTTGGAATTTTTTTTTTTAAGCTTGAATTAAAAGAAAATGTTTAGGAACTCAAGAGATCCTTGTTAATACAGAATGGTAAGAGTATGTAAATAGAAAGAAATGGCTGCAAAAATTTCTTTCCAAATCCATGTTCTGCTTATAAAAGGAGCATGTACAGCCATAAAAAGAGAAAAATAAGAGGCAGAGTGGGATGGGAATCGCATAAATACCAATATAGCTACAAATTTCCTTTCTCATATTTTACAGATCAAAATAATTTCAATATATTTTGGGCGCATATTAGCATTTTTTTGTCTGTGCAATAAAATAGACAACAATTAGTTTGCTTTTCACTCTGTTATTTAGTAGACTAACACTCACTGCTTTTATTATTTGCTTCTTGGATACATTATCATCTTGTTAAACAGATATTCTGAAAATAGTCAGAAAACCCAAATACACCCACCATTTATGACTAATGAGCAGCTGCTAGTGCTGCTTCTGTATACATGCAAATTGTTTTACACTACCTTCCCACAGCATTTAGCCTTGTCTATGATCTTCAGGGCAAACTCCTTTCCTGTGGATCTAGCAAGAAAAACACGTGAGCCATTAATTAGAAACTGATTAACAAATTGTGGCATTATCTGTAAATACGTCGTCGTAACAGAATGTCATGACCCACCGAGATTGCTGACAGAAAATTCACAGAATGGGCTTGATTTTGGTTTTTGTTTTCTCAGCAGCATTTGTGCCTGCTGTTTCCCTGACTACCACAACCTGGCTCACTTGGTGTATTAATCCCAGGATCCAGCTGCAATTTATGCTTTGTGACCAGGCACGATTCTGTTACTTCCTTAATGCAACATGCAAAATTTGCCTTCAGCCTTCCACTTAGCTTTGTTCAACTAGTAAGCTTTAAAGAAAAAATCATACACATATATCACATATAAGGGAGCAGAAGAAAGACTGATATCCTAGTAAAAAAATTCAATAGGATTCAGCAGAGCTAAAACCCCACAGTTCATTACAGAGTAGTCTGAAATCCTGTAGAATCTATTAGGCACTGATTTTGAGCTTTTGTATTTCATTATTCCTTTATTTATTTTTTTTAAGCATTTTGTTGAATTCTACAGCAGTCATCTAAAGTCCCAAGGATTTTAAGAGGGTGGTTATATACAAAGCAAAAAGGATTACTGTTTTTGGTAAATACTCTCACAGAAAGGAGCTCTTGTTTGTGAATTGTCCCTTTAAGCAATAAAAATCTCCATTTCTCCAGAAGGGGAGAAAATGAGAGAAAAAAGAAACAAAATATAATTTTTTTTTAAAACTAAGAAGAAATTACTACTTATATTAATGATGAACATCAGAAAGAAAATGCTTTAAGACCCTGTTGCTACTCTTTTGAATTGCGCCAATGCCTACAGACTGCAGGTTGCATCAGAACACCGCTGGCATGTTCAGCAAAAACAGGAGGTAGTTACAAAAGCAGAAGTCAGGCATGTTTTTACACTTCCAGGGTAATTTTCACTATGCTTCTGGCATTAGATACAACTAGTCCAAATCAGTCCCTTACAGAAAAAAAAACTGAATTAACGTCTAACATTCAATATATGCATTATTGAAAAAATGCAGCAGGGAATCTCTTCCCTGAGAAGTGCAGCTGTAGCTGCAAGGTTGTCATAGTTACAACCTGATTTGGTCTTTAGATAGAAGCCTTATCTAAATGGTATCCATGAAATGCCATCCTCTTATATTACAGGCACGATGTAAAATCTACTGTGAATACAGCATGTAATTCATGAATCACAATTTGTGCATTATACTATAAATTATATCTGAAAGCCTTCAAACAACTGATCAGCAAAATCCACTTAGTAAACCTTTGGCACTTATGTTGTGAGAAAACAGGAGTTAACATTCACAAAGCCAATTCATCAACCAACTTCCTCCCACAAATGTCCTCTACCACAGCACCTAAGAAAAAACCCTGGATACAATCCATATAATTTCTGTGCTAATACCACGGCATTGTCTGACAGGTTTCTGGTATTCTTCTGTCGAGCTGTCAGTGCCCATCTGTTGAATCATGTCTTTATATACAGACATATAGGCACCCTTCACAAAAGAGACCCCCTTTTTCTTTTTGTTGAACAGCTGCTTTAATGGAATCCTAGCTCCACAACTAAGGCTTCTTAGCACAACACTATTAGAAATTAAGTAGAATTAACAGGAATTAAAAGAGAAGCATTTATGGTTGGCCTTTCCTCTTTCACTCTTATTATCAGTAATTATCAGTAATTTATTTTATACAAAATTCATTTAATGTTTCACTAAAGATTTGATCACATACAATACTAGACGTTTAATTTTGCCTTTTTTCCTTTTGTTTTTACAATTGGAAGGTTTTTTATCTAGTCCAGTTTCCTCATTTCAAAAATCACAGATGACATTTTGAAACCCCAGTGACCTACCACCCCTTGTCCCACTTCCAGTGGAACTTAAGTGATTTCCAAAACGCACAGCTGATATTTCTGAAAATAATATATTATGTAATCTGATGCTTTTAATCTGCCAGCTTTCATGAATGTTGTTCACTCTATAAATAACAAAGGATGTGTGGCCAGCTTCAGGGTGCATGAGAAAACACTGCTGAAGCATCATTCATCTTGTGCTTGAGCTGAAACCTTGGGATTTTAAACCACGGAAGAACCTCTGAGACACAAGGTATGCTGGGACCTGAGGGGATCCACCTGTCCCAGTGGGGAAAACGGATCTTTGGGCATTACTGGAGGAGCTGACTGAGAGAGCTTTAAACTAGACTTGATGGGGGAAGGGATACCAACAGGATTGTAGCAGGTAAGCCAAGGGTTGGGATGACATCACCTAAGGATGGCAATGCCAATGGGAACATTTGTACTGCTCCCAGGAGCATGAAGAGCTCAGGAGTGTATCTGAAATACCTGCACACCAATACACACAGTATGGGAAACAAATGGGATGAACTGGAAGTGTTGCTCAGATCTCAGAGCTACGATATCATTGCTGTTCGTGAGACCTGGTGGAATGAGTCCCACAACTGGAGTGCTGGGATGGAAGGCAGGAGCCTGTTTAGGAGGGATAGGCAGGGCAGCAAGGTAGAGGTGTTGCACTATATATAAGGGAGAGGTTTCACTGCACAGCCCTTACAGTCAGTGATGATGTGGTTGAGAGCTTCTGGGTGGAATGGAAAACAAAGGACATGGTGTAGTGGTAATCTGCTACTGGATCACCCAGTTGGGATGTAAGCACTGTTGAGTTATTCTGTAGGTGAAGATGAGAAATTACTGTGGAGCCCCTGTCATTATGGGAGATTTCAACTTTCCAAACATTAAGGGGGAATATCATACTGCTGTGAAAACAGGTCTTGGAAATTCTTGAGGTTTGTAGGAGACAATTTCTTGTCACAGGTACTCAGTGAGCCAGCTAGGCAAGATGCCCTCCTAGACTTGCTATCTGTGAACAGAGAAGGACTCAAGGGGGATGTAATGGTAGGTGCCTGTCTTGGTGATAGTGATCATGAAATGGTTGAGTTTAAAATTTTTGGTGTAATGAGAGAAAAGGACAGCAGTGTTGCTATGCTGGATTTCAAGAAAGCCAACTAAGTTATTCAGAGAGTTCTTTATCAGAGTACCCTGTATCTTCTTTTGAGGATCAATTGCTGGTCAGTTTTTAAGAACCACCTTTCAGAAGCACAGGAGTAGGAAATTCTATCGTGTTCTAAGTCAAGCAAGCAGGGCAGAAGATCAGCTTGGCTAAACAAGGAATTCCTCGTGGTGATCAAGGGGAAAAAGAAGTTGTACGATCTTTGGAAGCAAGGTCAGGCTCCACAGAAAGATTACAGAGCTGTGGGTCATATATGCAGGGAGAAAAACAAGAAAGGCCAAAGCACAGTTAGAGCAACTGGTCAATGTTGTGTCAGACGAGGCTTTTTTAAGTATGTCAATAGCAAAGGGAGATCTAAAGAAAACATACTTGTTGAAGATTGTCACCTGACTAATAGAGATTAAGATAAAGCAAAGGCACGCAATACTTTTTTGTTTGCCCTCAGTCTTTAGTAGTACTGATAGACATGAGGCTGCCCGGTCTCCTGAGTCAGGGGACCACAAGAGTGGGAGCAGTGACTTTCATCTGCTGACACTGAAATTGTCAGGGACCAGCTGCATCAGCTGAATGCTCACAAGTCCCTGGGGCCTGATGGGATTCATCCCAGAGAACTGAAGGACCTAGCAAATATCATGGCAGGACGCGGCTCAAAGATATACCAAAGGTCTTAAGAGTCTGGGGAGGTCCCTGCTGACTGGAAGCTTGCCAGTGTTATTCCAATTTACAAGAAGGGCACGAGGGAAGACCCAGGGAACTACGGACCCATTAGTACAATCTCACTTCTGGAATGAGATGTTTTCATTCATAAGTACCTTTCTTTCCTTTTAATAAAACCAGCAGATGAGGATCAAATAATAGAAACTGTTTCTGTAACTTTTATGGTTTTTACAGTCATTTGCTGAATTTTCCCAGTATTTGCAAACAAGCTGGGAATTCCTCATAATATTTAAGAAACTGACATAGCTCTCGGATTGATGAAGATAGCAGAAGGTGGTTCTAAAAAAACACACTGAGAAAGTGACAGTCAAATCATCTGTTATGTTTGCACTAGCAGCAAAGTGTGACACAAAGCTTTCAGAGGAAGGGCAGTAATACAGCACAGGTCTGTAAAGGTATCCTGTCTACCCCATGGGAAATCAAGCACGAGAATATTTCAGGGTCGGGTGTATTGAAGGGTCTATTTGCAAAGTCTCTGGCTACTCACCACAGTACCTCACAGAAGAAGGAAGCACAAGGGAGCCAGCAGCACAGGCTAATAGCCAACAACTGCACGCCTTTAAGAATGCTTTACCCACAGTATACTGAAAGCTGTGAAAAATCATGTAAGCAGCAGGCAGTAGGGACATTAGAGCAGCACAAGTGCTGAGGCAGAAGGGGGGGCTCTCAAAGACTGTTTAGATGCCACATCCTGTCACCCACAGCCATCTGTAGTGTGAGGGATTTCTTGAAGATCTGTGGGGTTTCCTTAAGAGTCACCATTAGAAGGTGATACCTCCTTTAGTTTTTGGGATTAAAAAAATGTTTCTCTGGTGTTCTCATATTCCTTTGCTAGAAGAATACATAAGAAGCTCTGCATATTTCACTATGCCTATTTCTCCTGAAGTGTATGCATATCTTTGCATATGGGTATGCTGCTCTTTGCTTTCATCTCCTTACATTTTTCTAAGAAATTATGTTAATGCACAGGGCTTTATCCAGTAAAATAAACAGCAGTACTGAACAGTTTCCTTGCTCACCGTTCTACACACTCCTTTACAACAGCAAAATTGCCATCACCAATCACCTTCCCCACTTTGTACTTCTCAAGAATGGTAGATGACCCTGAGAACTTGTTTCCATTCAGGCCTGTAAAAAATAAAAAAGGAAAAAGTCAACAACGCAAGCTGAAGTGTCAGCAGGATGCAATATATCCCCAATGGGTTCCACAGATACAGAACAGTCACAAATGCAAAACAAAACTTAAAAGTAAGCTGTTTTCTTCACTGCTTATTCCCTTGGTTTTATCTCAAATGTAAGAAAGAACAAGATAAACCCAAAGTTGTTTGACCTTTTAATACACAAATCAATTCTTACTATGGTTTTGTATAGGCATATTCTAAAAGTAATGAATGCAGTTAGAAGTTCTTAGTCTAAAATTTTCTGAGCTTGAATTACTTTTTTGAAGTATCTTTTTGAAAACTCAAAGTAAAAATGCAAATAAAATTCATCTGCAATGCATGTAAAAGACCCAAAAAGTTTTATCTGCTGATTTCCTTCAAGTTCCTATGGCTGCTGCTAAAACATCCAAAGTGCAAGGAATGTTGGTAGGCACTTATTTCAGTATTTTTAAAATACAAAAAAATACTCTAAAATGAAATTTAAAAATAATTAAAAATAATTAACATTGCTTTAAAGAGATAAGGAATGAAAGGTTAAGTTTAGCTAAGGTCAGTTGATAGGCCAGTGGTTCTACCTGAAGTACAATCAGCTCTTTTAAGGAGAGTTCCTCTTTCAATCCAGCCCCAAACATGTTTCTGGTGATACTGCAGGTCAAAATCAAATTCCTAACAGTGACTATTGAAGAGCAGGGTCCACGACTATGCTACCACTTGACAAAAAAATATACAAAATTTGTTTCCTATCTTTACTGCCTTGATGTATAAAATGTGATAACAATTTTTCCAAGATAAGTTTGTTGACGAGGTATCAAACATCTCAGAACAGAAAAGGATTTGGAGTCATCGGGAACCACCTAAAAGTGCTAAACCAACTGTCACCTACGACATAATTTTTGCAAGGATTGTTAGCAATTACTGGTGTCCTACCTTCAGGACTCTGGCAACGGAGTGATTCAGGTACACCATTCACATTGGAAGAAGATCCACCATGTGGAGAGATCTATGGATGTACACAAGAACTTTTTATTTCTGATGTTAATTACAGGAAAGAGCCATATAAGAAAGCAGCAAAGTTGAAAAAAACGCACCCTAAAAACACCTATAACCAATCAGTTTACTTTTTACTCCCATTGTATTTTTATTCGTTTCCTCATCGTCAAAGGAATACATCATCACTTACACCAATTTAAGATTCAGTCCCAATATTCCTATTTAGATAAGTAGTTGAACACATTTGAGTAAAAAGCAAAGAAAATTCCTTCCAGCTGCACCTACTTCCATCTATACACAACAGAGTCAGTTGTGTGGAGGCAACATTCCCTCCTCATTTTACACAAGATCATGACAACAAACTCTGTGCACGTTTTCATGACAGCTGAGGCAGCCACCTCCAGACAACCATCAAGAGGCCAGTGCAGCAATCCCGTGCTGTCACGCTGCAGTCTAACACATCTCTTCAGAGATGGCACTGTCTGAGGTTTCCCTACCTGAACTCTATCAATATATGCTCTCTTTAGAGTAGCACTGTAACACGCTAGGAAGGTAATAAAGAAATGTTTGCGTGGCCCTACCAGTTTTCATTTAAAGAAGAGAATTTTGGCATAGGTGGCCAGGTACATCTACGATAATCAGATTTATTTACTAATCTATTGGGCTGTATTTTAGGTTACTATACATGTGAAGATTTATCACATCTACAAGCACTTCAAGTTAGATGTGTGATATGCATCCAGACATAGATTCAGTTTTAGTAACTACAACACTGTAAAAAACAAATACCTAAATTATTTTGAAGCACGATGGCTGAAGAAAACTAATTTTCCTGCACTAAAAACTTAATTGGTACTTCATTTGAATCTTCACGATTCTACTTATAGTCATCCTGTCATACTGCCCAGGGACAGACACAGCAATAAATTTTTATTTTAAAAAGGGGTGGAGGCATAGGAATGAACGCCATAAATAGTAAAATGTACTAGCTGTGTCCTGTGCACCACTTTTATAAGCTCTCCCGTTACAGCTATGTATGCTCCATAAAATTAAAATACATTTTAGATCATTCCCCCTCTTCTACGTAAAATTTCTTGCTGTTCTGTGAAGTTCTATATCTTGTTTTCTTCATGGGCTATTATAGTAGCTCACCACTCACCACATAAAGGATTAAAATGCTTCTCTGCCTTAAGCTCAGTGTCTGTTGAAATGGCTTTGCATGACACCGGGAATGCAAATGCAGCATTTTCCGTTTTAGCTGACATTGTCTGGTTACACTGCTGAATATTTTAAATCATTAACACTATTGTCAGTGAAAGAACTGAACTGACAGATAGGGATATTGTCTAAAGGCTCATGAAATGCTAATGAATGCTTAAGTTTCTAATGGCAGCTGAGCTGCCAAATCAGCTAAAGGTACAGTAACTATACGCTGTACAACTTAATTTTGCAGAGCCTCTAAAACAATGAAGTCTACTAGTATTTGGCACAGGAGTAGCATCAAACAGCAAGCAGTCAGCTACTACTCTGCTTCTTGATAATAACTTAAAACTAGGCTATGTTAATGCTTCTGCCTTTCCAAGTTATCTATTTATTTAACAAGGATCAGGAACAAGGACATTTGGGTTAAATGACATTTGTGCAAGATCATGAGTCAGTTTTATAACCAGTCACATTTTCTTCAAGGATGAAGCAGAGCTAACAGAACAGATCACTCACTGCAAAGTATTAGTCATCAGCCTAAAATATTAGTAATCTATTTTGGGTATTCAGTGAGTGACAATACATGGGAATATCCAGCCCGTATTTCCAACTTCCTTCAGACTTGTAATCAGGGCAGAGCATGACTGGGCACATTCCTTCTTACCACAGTATTTACAAGAAAGCAAACACTAACAGGAAAAAAGCTAAAAGGAATAAAAAAAAAAAAATTGCTGCTGTTGTTGTGGCTGAGGTGTTAGATCAGAATCTGAAATGGCAGGTTTAACCCTAGCTCTGCCACAACTCCACATGTGGTGGGATTTTATTTTTTGTCTCATGAGAGTGTGAGGGAAGGATCCACAGATATAAACCCATATTCTTTTGAAGTGGAATGGTACCTTAGTTGGCAAATCTTTGCACTCTGGATTAAATTAATTATCCATGACACAAATGTTTGTGGAAACTTTTGGGGATTTTTTTCATATCAAAGGAAATACCTAACTCCTTGGCGGCTAAATGGGATGGTGGCTTCTAGAGCATCCATCTAAACATTTCCTGTGTCTGTCCTTCTTTCATGTCTAGAGAGAAATTAAGGACTTAAGCCACCAGGTTGCCAGGCATACAGAGCTCCTGTATACATTGTCCTATACACATTCATGAAGTGCTGAAGAGACTGAACTGTAAGGTACACACACACACATATGTATGCAGACCCACATCCTTGTGTCTAGAAAAATGCAGACAGAAACACAGGACACCTACACAAACATTATTATTGTAATGCCCTCAAAGTTCATCTAGCCAAACTTAGAAAAAGTAAGTCTATTATAGCTAACCTTTCCTTGAGTTCTGATCAAACACTGCCGTGGTAATCCTTCAACTAAAGGATAAGAAAGGAATGTGACCTCTCATACCTTCAGAAAAACTCCTTGGTATTCTCCAAGCAGCTTTGTCTTTATGAAAACATTCAAATCGGTGATGAATCTAACTGTAGACTATGAATATTTTAGTGAAACTGAATTAACTGTAGAAATATTCTCTGAAATCTGGGGACACTTTGGTAGTGTCATTGTAATTCATCCTGACAGGCTGCAGGAATAAAGGGCTAAAACATATTCCGAACAGAAACAAAACATTTATATAATCAGTATTTCATTGAGATGTTGACAGTATTTATTATTACAATGATTAATAGTAACATATCTGTAAGACAGAAACTTTGTATTTTTTAAGCGATACTTAAACATTGTAGTAACCCAACTATCTTGAGAAGCTACTTTTAAAAATACAATAGCCAATTAGAACGTAGTGATTATGCCTCCATTAATGTGAGCATATATGGTAGGGCATATAGATATATCATGCACTTTGTTGCACTATTCTGAAGAACCAGAGAAAGAATTACCCTTTTTCTAGAGATATTTTTGAGTGGCATCACATTATATAAAGCATGTAGCCAACTGATGAGAATGGTGAAGGGACTTGACAATAAGAGCAATACCTCAGTTTCCCTACCAGCACAAATTAGCCAACTCTTTTCCTCCACTGCACGGGCAAAAAAGATACTGAATTGTAAATGCAACAAATGCATCACTTAAAAGAGTCCCTCTATGAACTGCTACGGCACCCACGTCACTAGGCTGGATAATCGCGTGTAAATATTCTTAACATGCAACTACCCACAAAGCACATGTGTACAAAATTGAGGAGATTAAAAACCTTGATGAAGATAGGCACTAATCCTTCAAATCACTTAAGCACATGTTTAACTTTAAGTACATTAACATCCTCATTGAAGTAAAAGGGACTGACTACACAATAGCTGAAAGTTAAGCATACTTAAGTTATTTGTTGGATCAGGTTGTAATGCCCTTTCACTTCGGTCATTTGGTCAATCAATTGCAAAATTAATACTAAGGCAAATTCAAACACAATGATACTTAAGACAATTGGGATTCTAAGAAAGGCCTCAACTGTAAAGCTTCTTTATTTGTACAATTTTATTTTCTTTTTAAAAAAGATTACAAGACACTGTGGTACTTAATTTCAAGAGGGGACAATAAAGTACACCCAAGTAAGCATAAGGAAGTTATGACACCACTTTCCAAAATATTAAATTTAATCTAGTCTCTGGATGATTTTTATGGCACAAATTGTGCATAGTAACAGATGCACTAGAAGAGCTAAGAGTGAAATTAACCCTAACAGCATTGCATTAAAATGCACACTTAGAACCAGAGAAAAATGTTAAACCTTTCAATTGTCACTTGCCCACAGAACAGCAAAAGGACTCCTCTCAGTCAGTTGTCACCTAATGCTCTATTACCATCATTTCTTAATCCATGAACTAGATTTTATCTCTAAGGAAATTTAATAGAAGAACCAGAAACTCGGCACATTTTATGAAAGAATATTTACAGAGTAGTCATTTACTTCATGCCCATACTTGTTAACTTTTATATCTAAATCTTCACCTTGAAGAAACCCTCTGCAAAGGCTGGATATCAAACTGGCTTATTGTATGTACTGAGCAATTAATAGCACAAGGGCACTCTGGCTGGAAGAGCTAAAAAGGACAGAAAGAAAGCCCTATTCTTTAAAGATAAGCTGTTCATGAGGAGTGCTTCCTGAGAGGAACTTTCTGTGCCTGAACATATCACTTCTTCTTATAAAGTGTTGTGAAGCAGAAGGAATCCTTGGGGATTGAAGAGACTTCACTTTAAAGGAAAAATGGCATTCAGATAATATGATGTAGGACTCCGTGTCTGAGACTAAGAAAAATTGCTGCTGCAATCAGTATCTTTTGCAAGCTGACTGTCTTGATGTTTAGCACTATCGCTTAAGCTCTACGTTGACTGTCAAGTCACAAAAAGCTTAGCTAGGTTCTAATCTACAGTAAAATATTTTATTTTGCTCTGGCTTTTCAAATAAAGCAGTTTTTAAAGTACAGTTCATATGCAGCTGCTCTGATGCTCTGCTCTTTACAGGTAGAAACATCAACTCTGATTCGTTCCCTTTTTTCTGCTGCCTCAAGCTCCTATAAAACCATTAAGTGCTGCTGTTTCATCTTCTACAAAAACAAACATATATGATTTCTACACAACAAATCACTCAAAATATTGCATTCCCAAAGCCAGAAAACTCTTAAATACACCTTATTCTGTCACTCTCTGCCATGGTATGTATATCTACGTTTTCATTCAGCTGCAGTCATGGCACCTTCTTTATACAACTGCAGGAAGCCAAACTGCTTGTCTTTGCAGCAATGCAGTCTTGGCAACAAGGAATTACTTAACAATAGGGAAAAAGCAGCAATCTCAAAATAATAAAATTGTTCCCTGTTTTCTCTGTTTTCCTCATCAGTCTAATCAAAACCAATTCTAACAAAAAAAAAAAGGGTTTCTTTAAAGAATCTGTTTTTTTATGTTGATACTTCCCCAAAAGAGTTATTCCTACTAAAACATAATCAAGAAACAAGTGTGACTGAACAGCACACTTGACCCTTTTGAAATTTAACCCGTGATTCACCAGATAACATTCCCTGTCTTTTAGTTTCAGGAGCACAGTTGGGATACTCCTACTGAACAGATGCATCCTAATGGAATAAACCAAGAGGTACTCACTACTTCAGTAACACATCAGGTCTGAGATGCTTAATTTGGTTCTGCTGTTTTCTTTGGTCATATGGGGATGAATTATTTGACATGAAAACCCATTAGTATCCAGCATCAATTAAATTCCAAATTGAAAAAGTACAACAGCCTACTTGAGTGAAATAGACAGTGAAGGGGAAAGAGGACATGTCCACTTTAGTGAGTATTGCTTGTTGCTATCAGAATTATCTCTGTCTTAATGGAGCTTTAATCGGCTAAAAGCAGACAGGACACCAGTGGAAAAAACGAAGCAAATTATCTAGTTTCTAAACTTGTAATTTCATTAAAGACAGACAAAAGAGCATTTGTTAAATATAGTGCAGACTAGCTGAGAGCCTAAGCCTGATGATTTTGGTGTCCTCTACTGTAAGTTCTACTGCAGAGCTGTCCAGACAAACTTTAAAACACACAGCTCTAATTTCCAGTGCCAGAATTATTACTGCTCTTGGAAATGCTTTATAGGAGAAAGGCTAAACTATGTTGCTTTGGATAAGGAGCAACTGTGGGATGGTACAGGACAACAACGTAAAGACAGAGCTCAACAGTAAATTACCTCAACGAATCAAATAACTTCAAACATAATTAAATAAAGCAATGAAAATTAAAAAATTAAACAAATAAATTAAAACAAATACTAAATAAATTAATTAAATAAAATCTTTTGTCAGAATTATCACAGAAGCCTGGCAGAAACCAGTGGCATTACTCCTTGCAAAACAAAGACTTGATAACAATTAGCATGTCAAAACCCAAATCTAAGTACTATTCAAATCACGTCCTTTAGGCAGTCTCTTAACTGCGAAAACAGTTTTCCACAGAATTATGCAGCCTCTTCACAGACAGGAGTTCACCAATAGGAGCTATTACTTGATGAGAATAATTAGTGCAAACCATCCAGGCTGCTTTAAGAAAGGCTGCAATTGATGATTCCATAAGAAAATTCTCCTTGAAAGGACAGCTGCACAAATGCAGCAATAAAGATGCTCAACTGTGCTTCAGGCTGTTCTTTTTATTTTACTGAGCTAAAGGCACAGAGCAGCCTCCAAGAACTGTAAATGTCACCAGTTTTTAAGTGGGAGAGGAAGAGAATTCTCTTAGTGCAACACAGAAAAATCTGCCAGACATGAGGCTGCTCCCAAAGGAACTCCTCAAATGCTTTCAGACAGGAGACTGCATTAAGGGGTGAAATTGTGTGCCACAGATGAGAAAGGGTGCTTCAGATGAAATTTAGGCAATGCTACAAGACTATAAGGCATAGAAAAGAGGATACTACATTTATATAGGCTGAAGGAATATAAATTACTTGGAGGATTTCTGCAGTCCATGGAACAATGGAAAATTTGGAGGGTAAATTGGCATATTCAATCCACCACCACCCTCTGCCTTTCCTAAGCTGAGTGTTCAAACCCTACTAACCAGACAGAATACAAAAATCTTACTTCAAATCTATTCTCCATTTCATACTAGCAAAAATTATACTATCAAGGCTACCCTACAGAATTATAACTTTTTCCTTTTTCTTTATTTTTTTTTCCCTTCAGCACCACTGAATACATTCAATGAATAATGGAATGTAGGGGTTTCTACAGTTCTTTTCTATTTACCTTGAGTCCACGAAAGCTGCCTGGGCTTGTTGGTGAAGAACTGGAGGACTTTGTAGATTTTGGGGTAGATAATTGACTGCTTGGGGTTCCATTAACTGGTGAAAGCAATAAAAGCAAACAAATGGAAGAATAGATTAATAAAATTCAGAAACTGTAACTTGATTTTAGACTTAACATACTTCTCTTAACAACTTATCCCTCAAGTCTGCATACAAAGACTTCCTCAAAAAAGACTCCTCAGCATTTGGGAATAAATTACAGACTTGCATGCCACACAACTGCACCCCAAAAAATTCACGTGGATGGATGTGGGTTCAAAAAGACACACAAATATTGCATTTTCATTCCAGAGGTTAGAAAGGCCTATTCTGTCCTTTGCCAGTGCAAGAGTTTTGGGTAAATAACAGCCACGGCCTTTAAAAATTACATAATTTATTGCGAAATCACACAATAAAATTTATATAGAAAAAATGCTAAAGACATTTGACCCTCCTTTTATTCATTTTGGATCAACACCCTACTTTCTAGGTAGAATGTTTCATTTCTAGGTAGAAAGTTTCACAGAACACAAGTTGCTTGTTTTTCTTCCAAGAAAAAAACCAAACAAGTATGAATGGTTTGGATTATAAAGAACTTCAGCAGTAGTTCAGAAAAAAAATGGATTTAGGGGGAAAAACCTCAGCAAGGGAAAAGCTGTAGGTTATTTCTGAACTTCCAATAAGTACAAGTGTCTGATGAAAACACATGCTCCCTCTCCCTTTGACTTAAAGAGTTCATTTATTTTAAGTCCAGTTTTCCAGACAGGCCTCATACAACATTTGTTATCTCTCTGGTGACTTGCATATAAGTTAGGTCAGTCCTTGGATTTTTCTGAAAAGAACAAACTGAAGAATTTCATTATGCAGACAGAATAGCACACTGTCCACCATACACAAATATGATGCAATGTTATATGATGAGACATTATTTCCTTTCTAACTGAACCTCATTTTTGTGGGAGAGAAAAATACTAGGCAGAAATTTAAGAGCTAGAAATGTTTCATAGCTGATTCACAGTGATGAATTATTTCTTCATGAAGAAAAAACAACTCTGGTAAATAAAAACTTAGCTTCAAATAATTAACAGATACACCTGCAAATGTCCTTACACACTCAGGTTTGTCATAGGTTATGCATCACTTCTTAAACAGTGCTATTGGATTTATTTTACAAGTGTCTACTGACCTAGTACATTAACATTCTCTGAGTGTTGAAGATGCCCTCCAAGGACTATTTTTATGATCTGGGCAGTCCATCTGCCAGTAGGCCAGGCTGACTGCATTGCAACTTCCATAAATCCCTGTTTTTCACAAAAATCTTTCTCTGGTGTATGACATTAAGATATAACTAATTAGCATTTAGAATAAGTCTATCTTGAAGTCTGGTAACTTGGATTTACATTCTCAGCTCTGTTGCAGGACTAGTACTTTCTCCTGAAAGTATTCAGTGTGTTTAGGATATTTTTGTCTTGACTTTAACAAGGATTGCCTGTAAGAACAACAGGCAAATTATTTAAGTAGGTTTTTCTAAGAAGTTAAAAGTATTCAAGAATATACATCCCTCCTGCAGACTTCATCACTTTGTTTTTGATAACCTTTTTGAAACCTGGCACATCGATACGTCCTTGTTTTATAAAGAATTTGCAGGTAAGACAACGAAAAGAGCTACTGAATCCTGTTTTCTGCATGACCAAAAATGAGAAACTTCAGTAGAAGAGTTTGCTTCCAAACGACAAACTATTACTACAGGAGGAAAAGATTTTAGTTTGTTCACAAATTCTTTTATATGGCTCCCAGAAATGTCACTATTTCCAGAACATGACCATTAAGGTCTACACTACAAGGCATCGTTCTTTGTCTATAAGTCACTTCCATCCTCTTAAACATTGACAGAACCACTAAACTGTACCAGTGAAACTGGCTGGTTAACATAATGTTCTTTCCTCTCAAAACTAAGTGAGAACATCCCAGCCTGCATTGACAGTACTGTAGCTCTTTGCTAATATCTTAGCAATGCTTGGTGGACAAGGGTGGTGTTCTGAGCCAGGGGTGTGACTAGATGACATCCAGAGGTCCCTTCCAACTTTTGTGCTTTTATGACTCTACAACACATGGTTCACTCTGCTGAGGATGCTACTGAAAAGAGGTATCTGTAGATTCCTCTTTGCCAGTGTCTTCTGAGATGCACTGCATATGAGTTGGCACAAAACTGCAACCACAGAAAAAGCTGGAATTGGCCCTGTGTAGATGTAAAAATTTTCCATTTATAGGGAGTCAGCACTGTTTGTGTTGGTTTTGGCTGAGGTAGAATTAGTTTTCTTCACAGAGCTAGCACAGGGCTGTGTTTTTGCTGGAAAATGTTGATAATACAGGGATGTTTTTGTTATTGCCGAGCAGGACTTGCACAGCATCAAGGTCTTTTCTGTCCCTCACACAGCCTGCCAGTGAGTAGGCTGGGGGTGCACAAGGTGTTTGGAGGGAACACAGGCAAGACAGCTGACCCTGACTGACCCAAGGAGTACTGCAGACCATATGGCATCACACTCAGGAATAAAACTAGGGGGAATTTTGGCAGAGGGGTTGCTACTTAGGAACTGGTTGGGCATCTGTCATTGGTCATTTGCATCACTTGTCTTTCTTGGGTTTAATTCCTCTCTGTTTGTTAGTTTCCTTTGCATTACAATACTGTCGTTGTTACTATTATTTTAATTATTAAACTGTTCTTAACTCATGAATTTTCTCACTTTCATCCTTCCAATTCACTTCCTCCATGCTGCTGCAGCAGGGGAGTGAGCAAGTGCCTATGTGGTGCTCAGTTGCTGGCTGAGGTTAAACAGCTAAAACTGCTATTTCATAGAGTAGCACTTTTTCCCCCCCCACTTAAAAAACCACACAAGCAATCTGTACAGGCACAAGAATTGTACAGGCAAAAACTTCCCTGATCCTATTGATTTGCTGATTATTTCACATATATTTCAAACCTAATTTTTTAATCTATTCTCTAAGCATAAATTCTTTTGAGGTTTCTTTCCACATACATACCAGTTTGAACACACAGAAGAAAAATCTTTTCTGTCAGTCTTAAACAGTTAGGCTACAGTTCTTTGGAATGTTTAAAACTGAAAAATTATTAATACCCTTTCAATTGTTAACTTCTAATAGGGTCCAAAGTCTTAAGTTATTTGCTAATCAAATTATATTTTACTTGTTTCACAGATACTTTCACTTTGAACTGAAGGTTCAGAGAGGTTTCTCAGCGTTTAAGAACTTAGGCTGAAACAATATAAGAAAACAAAGAGAGATAAGAAAGTGCAGATAAAATGAAAACCTACGACATGGTTTTGCACTGCTTTTTTCAGTAACACTCCTGTCTTTTTTTGCTGGGTGAAATTTTCTGTTATAGTAAGCTTTAGAATAGACATCTAAATGTGTTGCTCCTCAGAACGCTCCTCTACCTGTAGTCAAATTATACCTTTAAAAATTTAACTTTGACACCATTAGCAGATGTCCAACAAGGAAAAAGCATTATTTTTCTCAAATTATCTACTTCAACAAAAAACCAACACCCATTATGTCTCTGCTTCATCAAATGCAAAATGTGTGTTTCAAACTTGAAAATATTCACAAACACAGCAAAAAGAATACAGGTAAATGGAGAGGGAGGAGACACGCTACTGATACACAGCCATAATAGTAATGGCTCACCTGGGGATTTTGCTGAAGAATGAGCACTGGAGTAGTGGCCACCCCTCTTTACTGTACTCATATATTTGACACAAAGGAAAAAGACATTAAGGAAAGAAGTTATTAAACAGCTCTGAACATGCATGAAAGGAAGAAGGGTAAATAAAGATAAGTAAAGACTACATGAAAAAAAAAAGGCAAGTAAACAGAAGGATAAATATCAGACATTTGGATAAAGGTTTCAAATTAACCAAACCAAGGGGAGTCCAAGTAGAAAAAAGTAAGGAAATGGCAGCACTGATTTATAAATACTTTGCATAAAATTCATTGCTGATAGATATTCTATGCAATCTCATTGGAGGTAACAGAATCGCACGAATTGTAGATCAGTGGCAAAACTTGTCCTTTATGCTACATTTTTCTGTGATCCTTCTTTGAAGCTTTTCAGCTAAATATTCAACCTTTATAAACAGATTATAAATATTCTACTTTGAAAGAATCCAAAGACATAAAATTACTTTAACCAGTCTCAATTAAGCAAAACAAATATTGATGTGGAAATGAGAATACGGAACATGTCACAGGTTTGAATACACACACGGGAGCTTACATGTACAGTTACATTCAAAAAAGAGCATCGTATATTTACATATTCAATGGTTTGATTTCAGGGCTACTTCTCCAGGTCTGAGAGAAAAAAAATTAAAGTTTTACTATATTTAGAAATTAAATGCAGAGGTTAAAAAAAAAACTTAAAACCCCAAGTTTCTCCCTTTATTTATTGCATAACAGACTCAATGGTTGGAACATATGGTGTTCAGAACCTTTCTTGAAATTACAAGAAGAAGAAAAAAATTCTCTGTTACTGGGCAATAACATTACAGTACATCTAAATTTACTTTAAACATCAAAGTCCTGTATTTCCTGCAATATGTGCCTTATATAGAAAAAAATCTTTCAATTTCAAAACTTGAGGGTATACTTTACTTGAATGAACACAAATTTAACCACATAACCACCCTGCAGTTAAGTCTTCAAGAAAATCAAGTGCCATGCTGAAAACATATCCCAAGTGTACAATTAGCACAAATCATTTCAATGTGCATAAACTGAAATTATTTGTGCCTGCAATTAAAAAATAGAAACCATATTTCTTCCCAGAATGTAAAAAAAAAATGAAAATTTTATTTTAGATTAGTATTAAATCTATGAGATAAACTGAAAGAACATTCTTTTCCCCTCAGGAAACAAAGCGTGGCACTTGTATTTTAGACAGAGTCAACAGCTTTCTTCATCCTGTTAAACAAATTCTAACTTTCATGTATTTCATGTGTTCAGCTTTTTCCTAGAAGTAGTACCTGAGGCAGGTGATTTGCTTCGACGTGAAGGTCCTGGACTTTTGGATGCAGCGTGCCTCATGCCAGATGATCGGGAATAAGAGGACTTCATAACACGACATTCTACAAAGCAAGCAGGTAAGAGTTTTGACAACAGCTCAGTGTTACAGCCTTCCTCCACACACCCCTGATGCTGTTTATTATCCAGAAAATGCCCTACTGAATTAAATAAATTTGTAAGAGCATCTCAGAACTCTAACCTACTTAGCATAAAAACATAGCTGAGCAACTCAAATACTGTATGTAATATTTTGCATATAACATTTCTCCATGTCTTGAAGCTGGTTTATTACTATAATTTAAGTTTGTACATATGCTGATGCCAAGGTTCTTCTGATAATTCGGTAAATTCTGCATGCTGTAACAGCAGTTTCACATAGGGCAACTGCACAGCCAGCACCATTTCCCTTCTCTTGCAAGAAACTGATATTGTGATCAATTTTTGAACAAGTGAAAAACATCTATTGTTTCCAAAAGGCTGAAACAATAGATTACTGTCATTTACCATCAGCTATATATTATTAAATAAAAGACAACCTAAGTAGAAAAGGAATCAATAGGCATACATGCACTGACACTTTGGAAACATTTCATTCCTACAGCTGGAATCGTTACCAAATAATTCTGAATGGAATCATATAAATTTCCCTCCTAATTTTGTCCCTGTTATTCATCACTACAATGTCAATGTCATCAGCAAAAATACTAAAGTTGAGCTGCAAGCCCTGCTAGTCATGTTCCTCTCTGTACTCAACCTGCTTTTCCAGAGTTATTAGAGGAAGCAGGGACCACCAAAGCTGAAGAGACAAAGGGAGGAAAAACCCCTCCATCGTTGGGTTCTCAGTGAGGAAATGAGCCCAATTAGTCTGTGCACCTTATAATGTGAAAAGTAATCTTATAGCCTTAAAATGTGCAAGAGAAATTAGGATCATGGCCAGACTGGGATTTGCATTGTGAGTTAATACAACCATGTTCTTCCATTCCTGCATAAGAATAAAACCATAGCTATATTAACTATGTCAAAAAATATCCTTCTAGCTGAATCAACATAATCAAGCAGTTCTGGAAAAGTAGCATGCTGGCAACAATCAACAGAATCAGAGTCAGCTGAATCCTCCATCCATCCAAATGTATGGGCCAGTGGTTAGATATATACCTATACTTGCTGCAACTGAACATTCTGTAATGACATTATGGCATTCGTAAAAATTACAAAAACAGTAGGTGCTTTTGCTGTCAGTTAAAAAAAAAATCCACAGAATCATAGAATCAGCCAGGTTGGAAAAGACCTCCAAGACCATCAAGTCCAACCCTTGATCCAACACCGCCGTGGTTACTAGACCATGTCACTGTCACATCCAGTCTCATCTTAAAAACCTCCAGTGAATCCACCACCTCCCTGGGCAGCCCATTCCAATGCCTGATTACTCTCTCTGTAAAAAATTTTTTCCTAATATCCAACCTAAACCTTCCTTGGCACAGGTTAAGACCACATCCTCTTGTCCTACGGCTGGTTGTCTAGGAGAAGAGACCAACCCCCACCTGGCTACAACCTCCTTTCAGGGAGTTGTAGAGAGTGATGAGGTCTCCCCTCAGCCTCCTCTTCTCCAGGCTGAACAACCCCAGCTCCCTCAGCCTCTCCTCATAGGACTTGTGCTCCAGTCCCTTCACCAGCCTTGTTGCTCTTCTCTGGACCTGCTCCAGCACCTCAATATCCTTCCTGAACTGAGGGGCCCAGAACTGGACACAGGTGTGGCCTCACCAGTGCTGAGTACAGGGGAAGAATCACTTCCCTGGACCTGTTGGCCACACTGTTCCTGATCCAGGCCAGGATGCCATTGGCCTTCTTCACCACCCGGGCACACTCCTGGCTCATGTTCAGCTTCCTGTCAATCCAAACCCCCAGGTCCCTTTCTGCCTGGCTGCTCTCCAGCCACTCTGTGCCCAGCCTGTAGTGCTGCAGGGGGTTGTTGTGGTCGAAGTGCAGGACCCGGCACTTGGCCTTGTTGAACCTCATCCTGCTGGAATCAGACCATCTCTCCAGCTTGTCCAGATCTCTCTGCAGAGCCCTCCTGCCTTCCAGTAGGTCAACGCTCCCCCCCAGCTTGGTGTCATCTGCAAATTTGCTGATGGTGGACTCAATCCCCTCATCTAAATCATCAATAAATATATTAAACAGAACTGGGCCCAACACTGATCCCTGGGGGACACCACTAGTGACCGGATCCCAACTGGATGCAGCACCATTCCCCACCACTGTCTGGGTCCGGCCCTCCAGCCAGTTCCCAACCCAGCAGAGAGTGCCCCTGTCCAAGCTGTGGGCTGCCAGCTTTTCCAGGAGTGTGCTATGGGAGATGGTGTCCCTCTTATTCACACCCTGAAGCTCTTCTGAAATAATATGATTATTCTTGCCAGGGCAAGTCTTCTTTACCAGATATTAATATTTTTCATAAAAGAAAATGGGGATGATTCTACAGCTCAAACAATACAGACAGACAAAAACATGTTCAGTGGGACCTGTGGCGATAGGCCAAAGGGGAATGGTTTTAAACTAAAAAAAAAGGGTAGATTCAGGCTAGACATAAGGAAAGCATTTTTAATGGTGAGAGTGGTGAAACACTAGAACAGGGTGCCCAGAGAGGTGGCAGATGTCTCATTTTGGGAAACACTCAAGGTCAGGTTCAATGCGGTTTGGAACCACGTGAAGATGTCACTGCTCACTGCTGGAGGGGTTGCAGTAGATGACTTTTAAAGGTCCCTTCCAACTCAAATCATTCTATGATTCTATGAATATGGAGGAAAAAACCCAACGTATATTATTCGATAATCCAGGACAATTCTAAAACTGCCTGGTAGAGGCAGCTTTTATTTTATTTTCCTTGAACTTACATGATAAAGTTTCTCTTCACAGAAAAACAACTTTCATAAACAAGTTAAATGCATGATTCGTCCAAGGCAGACAGCACAGGTACAAAGTCCCAATTTGTCTCACCTCCTTCCCTACCCAACAACCCCTATATCCTCACAATATATAAAGGGTCAGCACTTGGTCTACAGCAGACAAAACTGGAATGTGTGAATTGTCTGGCAGGACAATTCAAGACCTGAAATGAGCATGGTTATATATGTGACTTTTTAAAAATCTCACAAATATAGAAACATGGAAATTATCTTACAGTCACAGATGTCAAAAGTGAGCATTTTTAACAGATTTTAGATTCATTAGATCCATGACTGAACCTTTCAAGATTCAATGCTGCTTTCCATGTAACTTTAGAGACAGTGTCGGTTTTCCAGGAAAACAGATCCAGTTTGTTAGCGCATTTTAACAGGCTCACAGAATCCAGATGATGGTTTGAAAAAACTTTTTTATCCATAGGAAGATGTATTTCCATGTATAGTTTCCTAAATGACATAACTCTCGAGGACTGAACAGGGGAGCTCGGGGGAGAGTTTACTCTTTCAGTAGGTTTAGGATGTACAGTCTTACCGCTGTGATCTAGCACGAAGTCATCCTGAGCATACCGGTACTTCTCAGGCCCACACGCAATGAAGACATCGTCATCTCCAAAAAAGTCCTGTAAGCACGTTACCTTGACAGCAAAACATACAAAGCAAAATGAACAAATGCAATACTTTCAGATACTAAATCTTCAGTTGGTCAGCAACAATAAGTTTGTCTTTACCTTTTCCCAGTGATACCATAATGTTCTTTTGTAATCATACAAACACTTGAGTTGCCCAGTACTTCAGCTCTCTAGTAGTGCAGGAAACCTCAGGGCCAAGAATGTAAAACATGACTGCTCCCTACTTCCAAAAACACCTTCTCTTCTGTTTAACATCTCTATTTTTGCCAATAAACTACATAAGCACACTGATGACTTTTGCCTTTAACTACATATGCAGGCTGATGACTTTGAAAGGAACATCTGAAAATACTATTCAAATATCAAAGCTTCTTGTATTCTTACATTAATTACTTGTAGGAAAATCTGTTGAATTAAAGAGATTGCATCTGGAATTTATTTATTTTTATGCTCTGTTTTAATGTCCTGTTAAAAAAATAAAATAATTCCCCCTTTTATGAAAAGGTATTTCATACTCAAGAAAAAAAGAAATAGAGTCCCTTCCATGCTCTTTCCAGTTGTCTGTCCTTAATTATCCCAGTAATGATGTCGCAATGTATTTCAAGAAGGATGAGGATATCAGAAAGAAAAATGCTTTTGACATGCTTTAAAAACACAAAATCAAAGACCTTGAAAAAACTTCAGCCCTCAAAAGTCAATAAAGCGTTTGCTTTAAAAACAATGAAAGCCAAAAAGCCACAACAAGAAATTCCACTGCATTCAGTCTAACTCCCTTGTAAGGAAAAAAGTGTTTGTACGTAGCAAGCTATTTTTTAAAATGTAAACAGATTAAAATTTTGCTGTATTGTTTCCATATTCATTTTAACACTGCACGCCCAAATGAAATCTGGAAGTAAAAGTTATGTAGAAGCTATGTAAATTAGAATTACTTGGTAAAACTACAAAATCAAAGCGGTAAACCGAAAAACTGCTTTTAGAGAAACTAGCTTTTTTTCCTTCCCCAGGTACCTGTCAACAACATCATTTCTGTATTTTACCCACTGTGATAATACTAAACATCAGCAGAGCTATGGGGAAGGGGTCTCTACTGCCTGCAATATTCCAAGAAACACTCAGAATATCAATGACCCTCAGCTCTCTGCAAGACCAGCACAGGGCATTCCCCAGCAGCGCAGTTGTCATGGCAGCTAACCCATGAGAACAGCCGGATACTCACCGCAGTGCCACATGCAGTATCCAGCATTTGTGTCACTGTGTTATGCAGCCAAAGGGATCCAGCCATCACCAAAATCCTTTTATTGTTATCTTACCACTGCAATGACAATTTGCTCTCATTGAGGAGAGACATTTTCAGCTCTGCTTGAAACGGCTGCTTCTAGATAACCGAAGAGGCGGTAAAAACTGGATTCGAAAGGCCGTACAATTTAAGAGAAGTTTCTCTAACTTGGGATTTGTTCCTCTCTGCTTAATAAGAGGAGTCATCATCATTTCCACAGATTTCAGGAATCCAGCAACCAGCCCAAGCCCACCACTACAGGAAAAGCTGTGAGAAAGGTTCCACAACACTTATCCCACACAGGCAGAGATGTTCTGTGAGGTGCAAGTTCACACCCAAGGCCCCTAAAACTGGGTGCCACTTCCACAAGTTCTGCCTACCCACCACTGCTCTACTCGTGCCCCCAATGCCTTTGCAGTGCATTTCAAGCAGGTTGGAGTTAAATGTTGTGGTTTAGCAGTGCCTAAAATTAATCCTTCTGCTCTGATTGAAAGCCTTGCCCTCACCCCTTAACCCATCCAGTATAACATCCAAGCTGAAGAGTAAGGGAGGAGGAAATGACAGGTTTTATGTCAGACTCTGGGAAATACACAGGGATATAACTGCATGCAGCAGCATCCTTTTGTTGTCTGTAGAACAATTCTACAAAGGAAGGGTCAGATTTGCGCACAAAAGCTGTCAGGAGCACCCTTAGAAATGCACCAGAAAATCTGCTAAAAATGGAGATTGGGACTGAATAAAGAACTTTACGAAACATATTAATTCCCATAGGGGCTTTCTCACATGTCAATGTATGTAGTTTCCCCAGGCAAGAATACACAGGAGTAATCATGAATGCCAGTGATCAGACAAACTGCTGGAGGTAGAGTAATGACACCTCCATCTTGGAACTCAGGCTAATTCCAGCCTCTCATTCTGCTCACACGCTGTCGTATCTGACCTGTGTGACTTCCACCTGTCAGTCACACACCACAGGAGACTTCAGCTTACTGCAAAAGACACTAAATACACTTATAACTGAAAGCCAGATAAGTGCAAGTATGAGAAAGATTTACACAGATGCTTGCTATATTCCAGCAGTGAATACTGGAAGTCCTCCTTCTCCCTACAAATAGTCCAGAATGGCTAACATAAAATACATAAGAAGAAAAAAATATTGAACAATTGCATGCAACAAGGAATAAAGATCTGCTAGAATTTACAAGTCCCAAATAACCACAAATGATGAGGTGAGGGAAGCATTTTTAAAACCAAGCTCATGGAAATGTGTTTTCCTAAAAGGACTTTTTCTAGGCTTTTGTCATAATAAAGTCAAAGGCGCATCTCTCGAGGTGCAAACTGATGTTAAAATGAAGTCTTCATTTCCTACAGGATTAAAATTAATGTATACAGTGTAATTAATGATAACAGCTCACTTAGTATGCAAGAAAATATTCAGAGAAAGCTGAAATTAATAACTTGTTTGCATGTGTTTGTAAATGCTGCAAATCCACCAAAGTCTAACTTGCAAAACATACGATTCTGCTCCACAGGATATCTGTACTTAGGTCATATAGGAGTTTTTTTGTAAATTTGATCAGAATTCAGTCAGTTTAGAAACTTAAAACCAAAAAATTTTGAACATTTTTTCAAAGAATGTCAGTTATTCCAGTAAGTTAGGGATCAAAACTTAGTTTTTCAAACTAGCGTACCACAATGCTGCTTCTTTTTTCACTAGTCCTCTACGTAGTCTCACCCACTCTTCGTTTTGTTGTGCTTAGCGCTAAAAGAACCGTTCCGTTCTTCAAAATCTTTCCTAAAATTCCTTTCAAAGGAAGATGGTATTAGCAAAGCTGCACAGGAGTGTATCATAGCAAAACCAGTCAAATATGTACTCATTCATTCAAATAACAACTCTCTTGCTACTCCTCATGCTGTGAGTTTTCATGCGTGAACCTGAAAATGTGAAAAGCTTTAGACACCTTGAAGAAGTTCAGCACCAAAACGAGATTTGATATTTAACAGTGTTGGGAGCTTTTTTAAAATTAATCATCAAGTAATTTTTGAGATTCAGATCTGTCCGCTTCCTAGTTTACCTCCACAAAAGCTCTAGACAAGTACCTTCAATGCATGCTTTCCATCACTGCCTTTGCAGAAAAGCTCAATTAGAATGTCTCTCTCCTGCCCGTGGCTTTAATTATCACAGAAAATGCTCTTTTAAAAGAACAAAATGAATATGATTTGTTTGTCCACAGGAAAAAAATCTACCTTAAATCTGACTTCTTTTTTTATTTTTTACCAAAGGTATATACAGAGCTGAACAATGAGGTTTTTTGGGAGGTTTATCATTATAGCCAACACTACAAAGGCTTCCACCAAAGAAGTTTCACACTTCCTTGAATTCTTTTTTTCCCCTCCACATAGAAAACTGAAATATATTTTGAAATAGTGCTCTAGAAACACTTTAGAAAAATGTTATCTTGCTAACTTTAAATGTTTCAATTAACATGTTTAAAATATGTTAAACCCTATTTACTTCTAAATACAACACCTATTCCCATACAAACATTGCCCATGTCCTGCTGGTAACGTCACTGCCTTCCCCTTATTTAGAACGAAAAATGACTTAGTGCTGCTCCTCTGACAACTCAAGACTGCTCAGGTTGCCTTGTTGTACTGCTTTTCTTCAAAATATGTCACCATACACAGCACAATGGATCACATTTGCGTAAGACTGAATTGGATTTTTATTCAGTCCTTTAAAGATTCTTCTAATGGCCTAGAATCACAAGAAGGAATAAAACAGAATAAGGAAAAGCAAAAATGTTGTCTGAGAAGTTTCAGAATAAACATAACTTGAAATCAATATTACATTTTCTTTTTTAGTAGAGTCACTACAGTATTATTGTGGGCCTGTTTTGTCAGAATCACTTGTATTCTCACCACAGTTTTCTGAGGACACATGTAAAGGACTCAGGGTACCACTACTGCTTGATGAGCTCCAAAAATATCAGAGGACAACATAATTCACGCAGCAGCATCAGGAGAATTAAACTGTAACTGGCTTCAATGGCTACAAACCCAAACAAGTATGCAAGTGGCACAATGATCCAATGATTCAAAACTTGAATTGCTTCTTATAAAAAAAGCAGTCTTTTCTCATAAACTTTTTCCCCATACACCCCAACCGAGGACATCTTGAAACACTGGATGAAGTTTATTGAAAAACAAAGACCTTTCTAAGAGAGGTACATATGTTATGTTACATTATGTTACAGAAGTGTCATGACTAACAACAGTTTGCAAGACAATTTATGTTAAAGCATGCAAAATCACACAGCTATAAGCACAAAAAATACGGTTTACGTGCACAAAAAAAAGTGAAAATGGAGTGTTGAAAAGGAAGGGAGAGAAACTTTTCTATCTGAAAAATCAAACTCCTGATCCACTGCTCTCCACTAGTGCAGTGCTTTCATGTCTCATACGCCCATCACATTTACCTTTTAAAATAGGTTTATATTGCTGACAAATATTTATAACCAAAGAAGTTTGCTCTTTCCAAAGAAATACTTCTTCAGTCAGATCAAGCCACTGGAGTAGAATTTTCCAACTGTGATCCATACGAAAATCTCTTTCCCATTACCACCACACGCCTTGAAATATAATTTACATTAATCCCTACTCCCACCTCTGAACCTAACAAACAGAAGATACCTTCCCTTGGGAAGAAACATGAATAATGATCAATCTT